CAATTATGAAGTTCCTTGGGAGTTTAGTTTTTGTATGTGGCACGTTTACTTGAAAATTTCTGGCATCAATAGAAAACCAATGAATAGGTGATTAAAGAAATACATAAATCATTGGTTCTAACACTAAAAGAATAGGAATATTAAATGCATTTTAGGTCTATTGAGTTATACATGTTAATGTGTAGGTATTTTCTTTAAAATTACTATATACATATGTATTGTTATTTAAACCTCTTTCACGGAAAATGAGATCCATTTTAAAAACTATAATATATTTCATATCTCTCCTTTAAGCTTTTTTAATATCCTGAAAATACTATTAAAGTGTTCAAAATAATATGCCATTATGATAACTAGAACAAACAAGTTAATTGAAGCGTAATTTGATAGATACAGTGCTTATTTTTTCGTGTTAGACATACGACTAGTATACAAGTTAATAAAATGGCAACAGGGCAACAGCCAGTCGTCGTCGTCGACTAGAATTAGAAGATATGGTGGTGGGATATTAGCCGAACCGAATGTGAGGCACAAAGCTAGAAAGCAATAGCGGGGATATCATAGTTGCCACATGTTCGCTATAAAAACAAGGCTATGCCTAATACAAAATAATAAGTACTGTATAAAGCCATACATTTTTTAAAAGTTCTAATACTTTATGTCCATATGATTAAAAAAGTTAGGTTTGAATTAAATATAATTCATATATTGTCATTTATAAATAATGCATATCTCTAGTTAACAATATTGAATAAACTTAAAGAACTACTTATAAAACTTTTTAAACAATTAAATAATGTTATCGATACCGTTCAAATTTTTTGAATTCCGTTACAATCCTCCACATTTTGAACACTTGAGCATATTTGTAGATGATTTTTCTACATTAAACAAAATATTTATATAAAATTGGAATAATAAGGGTTCCAGATTGATTTCTTATGGAATTTCATCAGTAATTGAAAATATGGTAAAATATGGTAATTAGAAAAACCTAAACTAAACAATTATGAGACCATGTTCCTATGATCAACCTTATCCAAAGCCTTAGAACTCTTTATATATAGATATAGCATTCACTTGCTCTTGGTTATCCAAAACATGAACAGAAATATATTCAATTAAGCATAAGTTAATAACCATTCAATGATTAATAATAAAACTTTGATGATATTGTGAAATATTATCCAGAAAATAAGTAAATAAATGCAATTGCAAAGTAAAATAATAAAAAGTACACACTAATGACATTGGTCTATAAATTGCCGTTTGATTTCGTCATACTTTTAAATATTAAATTGTACATACTATTGTTTCTTTACACAATTCACTATATTTTTTTTAATACAAAAAAAATTAAAAATTTGTTTCACAAATAATTTCACCGAATATATCTAAAGGTCTGGTAAACAATATACATTCAATGGCTTAAATTAATATCACCTGTGTTACATAGAAAGAGTTTATTGGTGATTTTCTTTCTTCAGCAAAGATTTATTCATGGCTGAAGTGACAACGAACTTGTAATATGACTAGTGAAGAAAACAATACATATTGCTCAATTTTTATAAGCTACATAAATCTAAGGAGTTCATTACAATGAATAATGGACGATAAAGATGCGATATAACAGAAAAGTCACATTGTAAAATTTCTTGGTTATAACTAAATTACAATGGCATAAATTAAGTAAATTGTACATAAATACAAGTAACCTATAAAGGGCTGCACATGGGCAAATTCCGAAACAAATATCAACAAAAGAAAAAGTTCTATCAAGGTAGTAATAGTGGGTATTTTCGAAATAAAAAAAAAGTAAAAAGAAGTAACAGTCGATACGTTTTTCTGACTATTGGTCTTCATCAGTACGATGCAGCCAAGTTCAAAGGATCATGGAACTTGTGTTAGAAAAATTGTACACTAGGAGAGGTCACTAACAAGGAGCCAATAACACACTAATGTGTATACATTCATCACACTCTGGCCTGTGGGGTGAATTTTCTTAGATAATTACATAATATAAAAATATTTTTGAGTACTACAGGCCATGGGCCAAGTATAAAATATAAAATGTTTGAGTACTAAATACAAAATAGAAATGTTGAAACATATAGAAACATTGATTTGGAACTGCTGATAAGCCCATACAAGTATAAAGGTATTTAATGCCGTTTTTTTGGCTAAATATATAATGTAATGTAAAAATTCACCACAAATTAGATTGATAAATTATAAAATGTGACCCCAATTTTGAGTGTTTAAAGTTTAAAACATTATAAAACAAAAGTATTTTGTTGAAGAAACAGGTACTAAGTAACATGATTACATGTTGCTAAAATGTTCATTGAATGAGGAATAAAAGATAAAAAAAATATAATACGAGTTCTGCCCGTCTCGATAAGTCACTTTTTTTAAACGAAATATTTTATTATTGTTTGCTCACTTTACATAAAAAAAAACCGCACTGAATGTTTTATAGTTCTGGAACAGCCATGAAACCATTTAACGAATCCCAGGTTCAAATTAAAATTTAATATGTCCGACGATGAAGAAACAGTTATTATATCCTGCTCGAAGGACCAAATTTAAATGTGCGAGGCAAGTGCTTACCCGGCTTACCCCTTTTGACAGAATGGATCACGGGATATTGATTGATAAATTGGACCAATTTGGCTTTTCTCAGACCTTGATAAGGTTCTGTATGTCATACCTTCTGGAAAGGCAGCAGTTTGTCTTTCATAACGGTCATTCGTCACAGGTGTACTTTGCAAAATCAGGTGTCCCTCAAGGTTCTAACCTTGGACCATTGCTATTTTTGTTATTTATTAATGATCTCTATCACCGTTTAAACTCTTGTAGACTCATTTATGCAGATATACCTCTCAGTATTAGATATGTATGACTGTTTATCGCTTCAGCAGGACCTAGATATATTGTCAGATTGGTGCATGCAAAATAGGTTAATACACTAGAAAACGATCAACTATAAATTTTTATTATATATTATTATTAATGGTTTGGTATTGTCAAGTTGTTCCTCAATCACTGATCTGGGTGTCACTTTCGACTCAAGGCTGAGTTTGGTTGAGCACATTAATATGAAGGTTTCTGACGCAAAAAAATGTATGGTTTTGTTATACGAAACTGTCGTGGGTTAAAGGACATTGGAGCATTAAAGACTTTATATTATTCATACATCCGCACTAAGCTTGAGTACTGTTCAGCTATCTAGTATCCTTATTATAATGTTCATATAACTAGTGTTGAATCTGTTCAAAGGAAGTTTTTGAAATACTTATCATTCAAAGTAAATGTTGTCTACCAGCCAAGAGGAATTGATTATCAGCTACTTTTGGACAGTTTCAACATGGAAGGTCTTGCGGTTTGGAGAATTCTAGCTTCATTGACTTGTTTACATAAAATCATGAATCGGTTAATTGACTGTCCTGATATCTTGACTAAAATTCATTTAAACGTTCCACAGTATAATAACAGACATCACTTAACTTTTTACTGTAATAGTTCTAGAACAAATATTCTATTAAGCTCACCTCTCAATGTCATATGTAATAACTTTAACATGTACTGTAATTCTTCGGATATCTTTAATTTATAGTTTGGTAAGTATTAAAACAATTGCTTGTAACTATTATGACAATGCTTGAGTTTTTTATTTTATTCTATTTTATTTTTTTTTATTTTTATTGATTTTTCATTTTCAGTTTTGATATGATACTTTTTATTTTATAATTTTTTATTTATCATGTCACCTTTACTACTTATATTATTAATAATTCATTAGGTTGCTCTGTAAAGGGATTTATATCTGTTGGGCAATAAAGGCTATTATTATTATTATTACATTTTTTACATCTTTCCTACGACTTCGACACTAACTGTATAAATTCATCACACTCTGGCCTGTATTTCTATTTTTCCACTTAGTTTTTTAAGAAATTAAATATGGCCACATATGGATGCATGAACCGGTAACGGCGAAACTAGGTATTTCTCGTTGCTGAAGCTCTAAGGCTGAAACAACCAGGATGATAGCGTCACTTGCGTTAACACGTCTTACCCAATCATTTTGCGGATTGCGTAATGCTTCGAGACGTGCTTCAGGGTTGGTTTTTAAAATTTTTTAGCCTAATACTACTCGATAAGGTTAAATATTGTTCTATGCTTCGATATGTTGAGTGTTTCAACATACCGATTGTATTATGATGCCTTAGCCTTAGATATGCATATAATACATACATATAATGCCAGTTGTAAATAAAAAAGTTTATTATCTTATCGACATTTTCAATTTAGTACCAGGGAAATAATTTGTATAAGTTTATCATTAAAATTTTTCAATCAACATTAAAAATCTCAAAATGTCTATAAAATCAATTTAAAAGCTTACAAAAGAGATCAAATATATTTATGACTATTATTAAAATCGAGATAAATTGCATAATATGACGTACAGCAGAACATTTATATATTTTACTTCCAAAACATGTGTTATCTCATTTTTTAGTTTTAAAAAGGTTATCATGACAAACGAAAACATTTTTAAATCTACAAGATACGCGAAATTTTTTTATAGTATTAATATTTACTGGTGTTTGATAAAATAATTTTTTCTTCTGGTAAGTTTGATTTCATGTGATTTCATTCTGCCTTCTTTCTCTGAAAAGTAACTATTGCGCCAGCGGACGGATTAATAAACAAAAATATTACTGCACACCCTATATTTATATATACAATAACCTAAACATACATGTAAACAAATAAATAACTACGGAAAACACCTCTATATGGTATATAACCGGCAATTATCCTACTTAGGTACAACACCTGATCAATAATAAACGTCTAATTGATATATATTTTTATATGTTCTAAAAATAAACTAAATAAATTGGTAGATATATCGTTTGGCACATTTCCACTAAGGCTTCTCTGCCTAAATTATTAAGAGGTCAATTCTTACAGAAACTTTTCGATTTCAGTTTAAAGAAAAATGGATAAAGAAACATTTACACCTTGCAAATTATATACGAATACAGCAACAGAATTCAGTAGTTCGACGACTTCTAGCCAAAATAGTTTTACGTTGTCAGGACAATCAGTATTGAGACAATTCCGAAGGAGCAAGTCTTTGTCATGCATTGTGCCTGATAATTTTTCTACAGCGGAAGTTAGAAGAATTCAAGAAAGGCTATTAAGGTAATAAATAATAAATAAATAAAATGGATTAGTAGTAATTTTTTGTTTATTTATATTTTTATATTCCAGGGCTAATGGACAAGTGGACACGTCAAGCCTAAGAAACCTATCGCGATCTCAGAAAATGACGTTGGTATCTCTAGCATTGGTAGACTTCATGAGTTTTTGTTCTACGTCGATAATGGCGCCGTTTTTTCCAAGAGAAGCCAACGAAAAAGGAATGTCCGAAACTTTCACTGGATTAGTATTTAGTTTTTATGCTCTAGTCATGTTTATTTCTTCTCCAATTTTTGGAAAAATTGTAAGTACAAATTAAACAAATTAACGGATTTATCTAGAAAAAATAAGTTTCTATACATATGTCAAATTTTTTAGATACCAAAATTTGGAGCAAAGTTTTTATTCCTGCTTGGAATTTTTATCGCAGGAACAGGTAATATTTTATTTGGGTAAGTTACTTTTTTTAATTTCTGATATTTTTTTATTAGGTACAACTGATGTGTACAATAAAAGTCATCATTAAACTCTTCATACAGTAGTCTGTAAAGAGTATTATAAGTTTACTTTGTCCGATGTCACGTTTTTTGTCCGTCAAAAACGAAAAATGACATCAACTTGAAAATTTCAACAAAAATCAATCTCTAAAAGGGGACAAAGCCTATTGATTTTGAAAAAAATCTGCGGGGAGTAAAGGAGGGTTGAAATTAAAAAAAAAATCATAAATCAAAAACGAAAAGCGATATCAACATGAAATTTTTAGTAAAAATTAAGCTCTATAAAGGTGCGAATCCACAATGAGAATATCTCATGAGATTTTTGTCTCATGAAATAAAAATTGCTTATCTAGTGAAACAATGTGTCACGAGAGATTTTTTTCTTGTGCAAGTCTCAACGCGTAAACATGATATATTGCGAATCTCGTATGAAACATTTAGTTCACTAGCTGCACGGGAGTTTTGATGTTGTGTCGCGAGAGAATCGTTTGTGTTTTTACCAAAAATGAATTGTGAAAGTAAAAAAAAGATTTAAAAAGAAAAGAATGTACTGTTAATTGGACAAGAACAGCTAGCCCCTCAGCTGCTGGAATTGTATCTCGCATATGTGTTTTGTTTTTCTATTACGGACTTAATTTTGTCCAGCAGATACCGAAAAACAGTGGCGGACATTCGAAGAAAGTTCTTGTAATATTCCTTTTCTTCTCTTTCTAATTCTTCTAATAATGTTTCCATTATCTTCTTGTTTTCCGTTTTTTAATCTAATCTCTTACCCAGTATCTGTGAGATCTTTTCGTTTGTGTACGGGTTTAATGGCAAGGTAATAATAATAAAAACAAGCTACAGTCTTTCTTCTTCTAGCCCTTTTTGTTGACATCTTTTTATAAAATGACTCCCCAACACATCTCAACACATTAACAACTGTGGAAACAGCACATTCAGAGACACCTTATATCATGAAAGAAAATTGTCTGAACTCGGGTGTTTCACAGAAATAGTTCCTGTTCTGTGGAAACATACTTGAGATAAATGTCACATGAAACAAACTTCTCACCAAATTTTAGTCTCCTTGTGGACATCTACCTTAAGAAGATGAAGCCAAAAAATAAAAATCAAACATGTCTTAAAAGGTGTATTACAGATAATAGAATAAACAGTCTCTAAGTAGTATACATTGGAGTATTTTTTGTAATAAAGGTAATGATGTAATTTTTTTGTCAACTTTTCTTATCAATAACTTAAGTATGAAATATTTTCCCTCGAGACAATGTAAGAATAATTTAAGAAATTCACCAGTAATATGGTTTAACAACAGTCTAAAATCTCTAGGAAACGATCTCTCAACCATCAAACTAATAACAGACGTTAAAAAAGATCCAAATGACATAAAAACATACAAGAAACTCAAAAGGGAGTACAATGAAAAATTAAAATCAACAAAAAAACTGGCCTATGATGAATATATTACTCGAGCAGACAATAAAGCCAAGGCATGTTGGCAAATAATTAATTTCGAAAGAAACAATTTAAAAAGAAATCTAGTAACTCCTGATTTAATACCAAATAAAATAAATACATTTTTTAATACAACTGCTGCAAATATCATAAGATCTCTTCCTAATGTTTCGAATACCGAACTTCTGAGTTTTAAACATTTTCCTATGCCCTGTAGCTCATTTTTCTTCCCCTCTGTTCTTGAGTCTGAAGTGTTTGACGCAATTGCTTCTCTAAAAAAATCTAATTGTGTTGACACTCACGAACTCAATAGTAAAATTTTAAAAGAGACTTGCAATATTATAATAAAACCGTTTACTGAACTAATTAATTTAATTTTACTTAAATACTCTAAAGTATTACCAATTTTCAAAAAAGGTGATGTCTCGAAAATTGATAACTATCGTCTCATAAGTATTGTTTCAATATTTGGTAAAGTTATTGAAAAAATGATTAAAAAACAATTATGTGAGTATTTTGAATTAAACAACTTCTTCAGCAACTCCCAATATGGTTTTAGACGCTCTCGCTCTACTACACAGGCTGTTCTCAATGTTGTGAATGATGTAGTTGAGGAACTTGAGCAGGGAAATCACACAGCAGTAATGTTGTGCGATCTGTCAAAGGCTTTCGACTGCGTCTCTCATGATATTCTTCTGGAAAAGCTAAGCTTTTATGAAGTTCCGCTTGCACTAATAAATTCATATATCAGTAACAGACAACAAGCTGTGATGAGTAATGGTGTTCTGTCTGACTTTCAGGCTGTAAGGCAAGGGGTTCCACAAGGTTCTGTCCTGGGCCCCCTTTTATTCATTATTTATGTTAACGATCTAAGCCGTTATATGCTACCTAATAAATCAGTTTTATTTGCTGATGATACAACACTGATATTAACAGATAAAAATAATAAAAATTTAATTTCTTCAACAAACACATGGTTCTCAACCAACAAATTAAAACTTAACAGTGAAAAAACTCAAAATATGCAGATATCTGCCAATAATCAATTTATCTCAAAATGTGAAACAAAAAACGTAAAATTACTTGGTATTACATTAGATAACAAACTCAATTGGTCGGCCCACATTAATCAGTTAAAGAAAAAACTTTCTAGTTCTTTGTTTATTCTTCGGCAGTTGAAAAAACTTACCAACTTAAATACCCTCAAAACTACGTATTTCTCTCTCTTTCACTCGCATGTCAGCTATGGTGTACCACTTTGAGGAAACTCTTCTTCCGGATGCAAAAAAAGCTATCAGAATTATGGCTAACATTTGATTCAGAAAACATTGTCAACTACATTTTATTAAATTTAAAATTATGCCACTACCTACTTTATATCTACATCATACACTTGTTGAAATTCATAGGAAACAGTCTGTTTTGCTGAAATAGTCCGATATTCATAATTACAAGCCATGTAATTCACGTTGTATTAGAAATACTCGTTTTAGGTTATGTCTATCTGAAATAAATTCCCTAAATTATAACTTATTTAACATATTACCGCAGAATTTTAAATATTCAAGTAATATTGCTTTTAAAAAATTAAAAAAATATCTATTGAGACATTGTTTTTACTCTGTTAATGATTATGTAGCTCATTTTCGGTCTGTATCAGACATCTTACTGTCACTCTGCCTCATCACAATTATTTTAACCTTGATAAGTACCTAATAATTATTGTTTTTATTTACATTTTTCAAATTCTGGTACTCCAATAATTATTGTTTTATTTATATTGTTCAAATTCTGTTACCACCTATGACTTGCTATAAACATAATGACGTACGTAAAATAGTTAATAAAATTATTCTATTCCATACGTCCGTGTTTATTTTTTCAACAATATGAAAATGAAATGTATGGTAAAAATCAAGCTCTATAAGGAGATGAAGCGTATTGATTATAAAAAATATTTTGAATAAAAACGGGGGGTTATGAAGTGTTTAAATATTTAAAAAAAATCCTAACTCAAAAACGATACTATCAACTTGAAATGTTTGGCAAAAATCAAGTTTTATAAGGGGACAAAGCCTATTTATTTAAAAAAAATCTGAATAAAATAAATAGAAATCAACGAAAATCTACAAATTTTAAAAATTATTTTAGGTTATTAAGATAAAATAACTAATTTTTTTGTTATAGTTTATTGGAATATATCGAAAACTATACGCTTTTTGCTACTTTATGTTTATTAATACAAGGATTCGAAGCTTTAGGAGCCAGTGCATATTGCACAGCTAGTTACATTTTTGTTGTTAATTCGTTTCCAAACAACATAGGATCAGTGATAGTAAGTACAATATAACAACAAAAAATATGAAGTCATCCATAAAAACATTTCTGAAGTGAAAAAATCACAATTCCTCTTCTTTTTTAAATGACAGTTCCGATTTAATTCAGACGCGTATGTAGTTTATAATCATGTCACTGTCTTGGCGGGATTTGCCTACTTTATAAACATTTTTGTGGATCACAGGTTAGATTACATTCTATTCGTTTATTATCATATTTTTAGGGTATTTTAGAAACTTTTGTTGGTCTTGGAATGAGCACAGGCCCGGTTGTAGGTGGTCTGCTATATTCGGTATGTAAAAATGATAAATAAGAAATAAAAATATACAGGGTGAATCCTAAGTTGATACTTCTTTTTAACTATGTTACTTTTTCAAATCACTTTCTCAAAAAATTCAAAAACAAGAAAACTATAGAATTAAAAAAATATAAATCCGGGTTTGGAATTGTGTATGAAAAGTAAAGCTAATTATGCTTATTTTTTTTCGGTTTTTCTCATAAATCATTATTCATTCTGTACTAGTTATAGTAATTCAGTCGCGTGCGTTTTCAGTAACGTGTTTATTTAAAATAGTGAATTTAAATTGTTAAGCATAGTAAATTTAAAATTAAGTGCGTTTAGAAGAACATATTTTAAATAATGTTATCGAGAAAGATCCAACAACAAGTACGCGGGTGATTACAGATCAGTAGGAGTAAATTAAAGAAAAATGTTGACAACACTGCCGGAAAATCAATTGCATCCCTTTCACGTTCAACGTGTTCAAGTACAACTTACAGATATTCCTCGCAGGGTTCAATTTTGTAAATAGTTCTTATAATGGCATGAATGTGATTAACATTTTTCAACGGAAGTTCTACACATTATTTAAGTTAGACAGGACCGTATTGGATACATTTTGTTTCTTATTTTTGAGTTTTTATTGAAAAATTGTTTATTTTAATGACTTCTATACACTCTCAAAAAAGTAACAATTTACGATTCACCCAATTCATTAGCATTCATTGAACTGTAGTTTGAAGAAAAATTACTATATACAGAGTGAGCTATGTTTGACTTTCATAGCAACCCTGGATTTAAAAAAAAATGGAACAACATCCTACAGAAATTGCTGAAAAATGTGGATGTCTTGTAACATCTAATTGTGAAGAAAACATTGCAATGAAACATACAATATAAAAAATTTACGTTAATTTTAAAGAATGTACATTTATGATATTTTCTAGGCAGCTCGGTGGATTTAGTTTGCCATTTTTTGTGTTGGGTATAGCGATGGTGATAACATTTGTAGTTAATATATGGCTGTTACCTAACATTGAAGGTAAGTAATTCATTTCGTAAATTATATCAAATAATTCAATATTTTAAAGAAATACAATAAAATACAAGAAAAAACAAAAAAAAATACAAAAAATACAAAAAAAACACAAAAAAAAACAAAAAAAAACACAAAAAGAAAACAAAAAATACAAAAAAATATAAAAAAATACAAAAAAAAAAAATACAAAAATGCAAAGAAAATACACAAAACATAGAAAAATAAAAAAAAAACACAAAAAAGAACACAAAAAATACAAAATTTACGCATTGTGAACGTTGTTTTTTTTTTTAGTTTTGAGCATTCCTATTTATTACGTATTTAAATATTTTTAAACCTAATTTAATCTATTTTTTAGACTGTGATAATTTGACCAACAAATCAATGTCGATACTTAATTTAATCAAAATACCAGCTGTAGTAATTAAAGGACTGGTAATTGTGGTCGTATCAAATGTTTGGTCATTTTTGGATCCAACTTTAGAACCACACCTAAGAGCTGTAAGTATTATTCAATAATTTATTTAGATAAACAAATAGAATAAGTAATAACAACGGTTTTTATACTTGATACAAGAAATTAATGTATCATTGATAGAATATTCTTTAACTAAGTTTATCAGGACCGATGTTGTTAGTACAATGGAAGGACTAGGTCCAAAATGTCTTTGGCTGACTACCTTCTTGGCTAGGGAATCGGCAACACGATTACCTTTTGATGTTGCGTGACCTTTGTTCCATCTTAAGGTGACCATATTTTTAATGGATATTTTTACCAAAGCTCAATGGCATTCTAATACTAACCCTGAGTAGATGTTCAAAGAGAGTACGGAGCCACAAATTCAAAAGTATCTGCAAGATGGCGCCACCTGTTTAGGTTCAAAACTTACCTAAAATTCGAAACTGATCTACATGGTTGCTAGATGGTGCCACAGGACACTTCACCACAGTTCATCTATTCGTCGCTAGATAACTTCACCTGTACCCAGACAACACACCAAATCCCAAAGATATCCACAGAATATATTTTGTGGATATCCAATATATCCACAGGATATCAGAAATATTCCGTGGATCTAATATGGATATCCAAATGTCCGTCTATATCCAGAATATAGAAGATATTCTATGGATATTCAGCAAAATATCTAATTAGTATCTTCCAGACAATACAAGAAATCCCACAGATATCCACAGAATATATTTTGTGGATATCCAATATGGATATCCAACCAAATGTCCGTCTATATCCCAGGATATATAATTCAGATATTCAGCAAAATATTTTATAGGTATCTTTAGTAGACATTCATAAGTAACCAAATGATTGTTACGAAAGAAAATAGAGATAAAAAATATTTCCAACAATCTGCCTTTGAGTTTGCCCACTAAGGAAAAAGTCATCCTTATTAGGACTCTTCAGCAATAAATGGAAATTCTCGACTCCAGTCTCTAATAGAGTTAATGCGAAAAAATTTTCGATCAACTCAATTATGGCGGGTTGAGCATGAGTAGATACGAAAGTGGTATCGCCATCTATACTTAGGAAGCAAAATCAAAAATTACATCTAGCAGATATCCACGATGGTTTGCGTCCGCGCTAAGACTTTGATATATGTGGATGTCCATGGGATATTGAATACACCTTCAAAAAATTAATTTTAAATATCTGAACGGTACTATCAGCCACAATGGCGTAATTTTTTAATAATTTGCTATATAATTACTATTATTTATGGGCATTTGCATGTCTATAAATTACATTTTATGGATATAAAATAGATATCCACCATGGACTGGACATTCAGTGGATATTGGGATGTTCAGTAGATATCCAAAGGATTTGGTGTGCTGTCTGGGTATATGACACTACCTGTCATCTATTCTTCATAGTTCTAGGTGTATGGAGTGTAGAGGAAAGGATGACAATCTCATACGGTTGTTTATCTCAAAAAGTGTCTCCCAAAATGTATAAAATTAAGATGGAGCTCGTGTACTAGAAGGGAAAGATCCAATGGTATATAGTTATATAGATAGTTCACCTATATATAAATCAGACAACGAAAAGCACTATTGTCGTCTATTATCAAAATTTCTGTTAATTATATATTTTACTTGCCACCAATGCTAAAAAGGTTATTACAACATCTTCGTTTCATGATTTATAAACGTTAAACTAATTACTTATGTTTAGTTCAATTTAAGCCCAGAACAAGTTGGTTTGATATTTTTATTGATGGCTGCGTTATATGGAATTTCTAGTCCGGCATGGGGTTGGTTAGCAGATAAAGCGGACAACCATTGGTCAATGATGGTAGTTGGTCTATTTACATGTACCATCGGTTTATTATTATTGGGCCCTTGTCCGTTTATACCATTTTTACAGCAGTAAGTACTTAGAATAATTTTAACAAACAGTGGCGACGCTAGGAGGGGAGGGGGGGGGGGGGCGAAGGGATCGCTCTCTATTATTTAATGCTCTTTTCTCCCCAAGGCGCCACTGCTAGCAAAAAATTATAGCAGGAGCAGAAGTTGGAAAAGCTTTTGCAAGTTTTCCCACTTTATAAACATAAATTGACAGATTTTTGGCGGATCTAACCGAAGTGGACGCGATACATTGGCGTACAAAATTATTTTACAGATTTAAATAAAAATTTAGAGTAAATAGTTTAATAAATTGTGAATAGGTGTTGACATTTTGGAGAATTATGATTTGGATATTATAATACATGTTTAATAATTATTTATAGTCCATAAATACATGCGATTGTTCGATTCCGCCGGTACCAATTTAAAATTACTTATTCTATGAAATATCACTGGCAGATAAACATTACTGCGAAATTATCGAAGTCGTCCTTCGTAGTTTGATGTTTACCCCCTCTCTATCTACCGAAAGCCTTTCCAACTTCTGCCACTGGTATATTACGAATAAAATAAAAATGTGAAATAAATATTGTACGGTTTATTTTTCAGGAGTCTATGGTTGGATTTGTTAGCATTATCAATCATTGGGGTATCAGTAGCTTTGGCTCTGATGCCTACTTTTCAAGGCATCTTAACGTCTGCAACGTAAGTAACTATTTTTGAAAATATTCAATAAAATGACATTCAAAATTAAAAAAATCAATACTGATTTAAAGTACAACAATTTTAAATTAAAAGTAAATTTTAGTGTGTACTAGCGACATCAAAACTAAGAAAAAATTATTATGCAACAAGAACCAATCTCAAAAATGAATCGCACATATTTTCTTAAAAAAATAAATGGTGCGTATTGTAAGGTTCATTTATTTTAAACAGTTTATTATTTAATTTATCTACACTATATTCACTAAATTATCTCAATTACTTATTTACTAATTTACTTTGACAGCATATATTTTAACACAAAAATATTTCGAGTTAAACTGACTGCTTCAACAGCAAAACAACCTATTTATACATATACGTGGTATTTCGCGAATGTTCGCGTATTCACCAGAACCAGCAATCAATGTACCACCACTTTCTAGACTGGTGTATCCATCAAAATCGACGTCTCTCGAAGCTTCGATATTCTAAAACAATCTAGATCGGTGTATAGACCAAATTTTAGAAGTCAGTGGTCCATATACGAGGGTCATTCAATAAGTAAAGAAACAAATGGCTATAGCTCAAAACCGGTTTATTTCAATCTGTCAAAATTAAGGCTATTTTTCAACATAATCACCCCCACAGTTATGCGCTTGTCCCATCTTTCTTGCAGCTTCGTAATTCCCTTGGCGAAGAATTCTTTCGATTTACCCCGAGGCCACTTTTGCACCGCTTCCTTAACTTCCTCATTGTTATCAAATCTTTTTCCACGTAGGGCGTCTTTGAGTGGTCCAAACAGGTAAAAATCAGATGGAGCGAGGTCGGGACTGTAGGCAGGACGAGGTAAGACCTCCCAACCCAATTCTTGAAGCTTATCACGGGTCAGCTGAGCTGTATGAGGACGGGCGTTATCGTGCTGAAGAATGGCTCCTTTTGACAAGAGTCCACGGCGTTTGCTCCTGATAGCTGGTCTAACTTTGTGTTCTAGCATCTCAGAGTAGTACTGGCTATTGATAGTTCGCTGATCTTCAAGGAAATCGCAATAAACTGGACCCTGTGAGTCCCAAAAGATGGTCAGCATCACTTTACCGGCAGAAGGTTGAACCTTGAATTTTTTGCGAACTGGAGAGCTAGTGTGTTTCCACTCCATACTCTGTCTTTTGGTCTCAGGGTCGTAGTGATGGATTCAGACCTCGTCGCTGGTCACTATTCTTTCAAAAAAAGCGTCTCCTTCAATCAAACTTCGTTGCTTTAAGTCGACTAATGGAAAGCCTATGAGCGTCAGTAAGCTGCCTGGGAACCCATCTGGCACACGTTATTATGTACTTTAAATTGTTCTGAATGACCTTGTGAACAGTTCCAACACTTACTTGAACTTCACAGCTATCATTTCAACAGTAATTCTTCTGTTATCACTTGTAAAAATTCGCACGGTTCATACAACTTTTACCAACATTCTAGAAAAAATTTCACTTGGTTTTACACCTTCTGAGACTAAAAATCTAATGACTAAACGCTGCTCTTCCAAGGTGCAATCTTCTAGTGGACTTGCCATGGTGAATTGAAAATTTTGAGGTTATGTTGACATAAAATGATGAAACAGCTGATCAGAGCATATCCAAATGTTGCCAACTAACACCCCTGAAAAGATTGTACACATTCATTGAATAGTTTTAAAATTATAGAATTTGTCTCTTTACTTATTGAATGTCCCTCGTAGTTGTACCATATGGGGGTTTCAGAGGTTTATTATTTTATCAAAAAGTATTGGTAATCGGACAAGTGGATGCCGTAAGAGGTTCAAACAAAACAGAGATGGACTTAAAAGATTCAGCAAGACTGGTCGAAAATGGCTAGCACAACCGTATTGACAGGTCGCCGCTAAATTATCTGCGCTGTTGCCGTCTTCATTAAAAGTCAATGAATTTTATTAAAAAATTGTAGAGATTTGAACAAGTGTTGTTTAAGACTTGTTGTTAGTTTTGATATCTGCTATCAAACAATAAAATCTGTTAAACGTTAATCCTATATGCAAGTTTATTTTCAAAACTGGTTAATAATTAAACAGAAATATTTTTTAAAAATACCTGTTAATAAAAGCCTTATTAACATTTGATTTATCTAATTTAAATAAGCCACTGTACTAAGATTATTTCAATATTAGTGGGTCTGTTGTTAACAATGTTATATAATAAAGCGTTATGATTAGTAGACCAAATCATTTTGTTTAGTTTATCATACACCTTTACATGATGGCTAGGTGTAATAAACATTTTATTAATTACATTATTTTGTAAATGTTCAAAGTTTATCTCCGGTGTTTTTTTTTTGTTATATCCAATATTTCGGTTTTTTAGGCATGCTGGTCATGCAGATACCCTAGCGACATACAGCGTTGTGGCAGGAGTTTGGTCTTGTATGTACTCTCTAGGAGAATTTATTGGACCTGGACTAGGTGGGTTTCTTTTAGAAAAAGCAGGGTTTCCGATCGCTTCAACTGTGATGGCGCTCATGACATTTTCACTAGTAAGTACGTTATAATAAATACAGGGTGTTTCCGAACTTGGAGTCCAAATTTGTAGGGGTGGTAGTTCGAATAACTTGAGACCGATTCGCAGATTTCATTTTTCCAAAATATTTAAAATAAAAATAATTAAAAATTATAAACAGGTACGGTCCTGCACAGCGATAGGAACGCCTCGACTCGCGCGCGCTACGCTTAGAATCGACAAAATTTCAAATCGCATCCGTTTTTGAGGACTATTGCGCTACGCGCTCAGGGTAGGACCTGCTCTTTGATTTTTTTTACAATGGCTCTATTTTGTTTATTATAATTTTTTAGAAAAATGAAATCTGCTAATCGCTCTTAAATTATGCGAACTACCACCCCTACAAATTTGGACGCCAAGTTCGGAAACACCCTGCATGGTCCAAATCAAAACTGCTTTAATTATAAAGTTAAATTAGGACCGATTCCACCGTTGTGTTAAACGAAGTTTAAAATGACATTTTTACATTAACAATGTCATTTTAATCTCCGTTTAACACATTGGTGGAATCGACCCTTAGAAAGTTTAAAAAAGACGGCCGCAATAAGATTGAGGCCCGCGTCTCCATGGAAAAGTAGTGGGACACGCGCTATCGAGTACGCCATTTTTTTTGAGGCGGACCAGCAATTATTAGAATTTATATGATGAAGTGTCAGGCGACTGTTTTTCTTTTTTAAAGTTGTTTTATAGTTTTCACGGAATTTTTACGAAGATGCGAAATGATTTACTAAACGCCTTAGCTATGATATCAATAAATAGAAATTTAGTTCTGGAGATAAATAATTTCAACGAAAAAATCATGCAAAATTTTATTTAAGGGAGGCATCGTACAGCAGATTTTAATTTCGAGATACCATGAACTTTCGTAAAAACAAAAATTAAAGACAATATAAATATGACGATTTTCATGTTTTTTAGAATAATTATTTTTGCAAATGTTTTACTATAATAAATATATTTCATTTTGTTTATTCACTATTGACAAGGCGCAATGTGCAGTGTGGTATTTTTTTCTATGTTAATGAAAAAATACAAAATACATTACAAATTTTCCATAATCTCCACCCTCAATCCAATTGGCGCCCCCCCACCTTCGCAGCTCACGAGCCGCCACTGGCTGCTAGCAGGAAACAGAACCGGTACCAGGGTTCTTACAAAGTCTTCCCCCTTTTCTGGCAAGCGTTGAAAGTTCGAAACGTGGCAACGTCGGAGCTCCGGAGCGATAGTCCACAATTGACAGAATGTCAATTCTGTAATTACCGTTCTGTGACTCGGATTATTCAGAAAAATTTATGTAAAAATATAATTTACTAATTATTCATTAGCGTTCTTAGTATCTGTTCAAAAGATCCTTTGGTACTTACACTAGACAGTGATAAAAATACAGCAGAAAATGAAATCTAACAGATTGACTGTTTTCCAAAACTAGAATGATTCTGATAATAAACTGAATTAGACTTACCAAATGCAGAATCAATCGCCTCACTAACAGATATTTGCACAGAACAGTTCTATTTTCACTTAATACACGTTTAAAAGTTTAGTTTTTGTTATGAACTCGCGAAAGTTCGGCCTAACGTTGGGATGCCAATTTTGTAACGGGGGCGTAAAACATGAAAACCCGGCACGTATTAAGAGAATTAAACTTTAATGGGTAAAATAAGAATAGGAACAGAATAAATAAATAATTGTATTGTCGATTAGTATCGATAATCGATCACGGATCGCGATCAATGTCACTCTTGCGTCTTGTATGTCACTGTCACTCGCTACGGCAGCAGCACTATGCAGGAGTGCGTTTAGAAACCTCGCACGGCGCGTCTGGACCCTATTCTAATCTCAAAGTAAGTGGCCGTGTTCATCGTCGTCAAACATGTTGTAACGCTGAGTAAGCGGTGACGATGAACTGTCAACCGCTGAAGCGCTTTTGAAGAAGCATAAAAGCGAAAATAAACTTGCTTGTTTGCTTTAAAAGCATAAAATTGACCTTGAACCCCTGTCAAATCCGTCTTTTGGCATTTTGTTAGGTTATGTGTTTGTTTATTTATTTATTTATATTTTTAAGGTTTTATACCCTAATAGAGTTGATTAGTTAAGTTGTATTTTAATATAATATTGTATTTATGGAGGTACCTGTTTGAAAAAAATAAAATTAATTCCAGACGTAGATACATACACGTATGCTTAAATTATTTCATTTGGACGTTAATGGGATTCCACCAGTAAGGAATATGGATAATATAACATACCTACATATTATATAGTTTTAGCACAGATTTATTCAAAACAGACGAGTTTTGTTATTAAAACTGCACCGATGTTTTTTGTTGTCATGTAATGTATATAGGGCATTAAAAAATAAATAATAATAATAATAATAAAAGTATGACATTTTATTTACAAAATAAATTAAATATAAGCAATTATATTAAAAAGGGCCCACCTTGGTTTGTTGAACCTATAAAAAAATACCTCATTACTGTATACATTTCAAATAATTTTTGCTAATAAGTCGCTCTATATGACAACATTAAATTTGTATATTTATTAATTTCCAATACAAAATATATCATTACTATAAAAGAATCACTGTATGTATAGTTTGTCGACAAGGTATGTATAACTCTATAATACTATACAAATTTTATTAATACATAAAAATAATTCAGACTCAATGAATATTAGCAATGACCAAAAATGTATAAGACCTAAGTACCTACATAAAAAATACTTTGTAAAAAAATAAGTAAAGCATTAGATAGGGATTATTTTAACAATTTTCGGTTTTTGTAATAAAACGTTATCATTTCTTACCTCACAGCAAGAAGCCTGTAAATTTTAAAAGGCATAACAGCAATTTTTCATTATTTTTAATGTAGAATAACAACAGTAAGATTGTAGTAAAAGTAAAACAATAATATAATAAAAAAATGTATTAAAAATAAGTGAAATAACAGAATTTTATGTTTATTTATTAAAAATTAGAAAAGCGAAATAAAACTTGTTTAGTGGGCTGACTTTCTATATTTTAGTTTTTAAATGGGAGTGGAACTGTTGACGTGACTTGTTTATGTTATGCTTGGCTTTCAATACTGATACTTCAAATTATGTAAGTTTTTTCACTAGCACATATTTATACGAGATACCACTCTTTTTTGAAAAATGTTTTGAATCAGATCACGTTTTCTTTTAAAGCGGGACATTTTTGCATTCTTGAAAGTGGGTTTGTCTTGCCTAAAGCGGGACTTATGATGTTAGGTATGACTCAAAAATAAAAGTTTACTTCAGGTTGATTTTCATTTTTATCTCTTCCTCCTTTTTCGATTCAGTTAGTTTTGAACTGGTTTGAGACACATGCCTCAAGTTCTGGGCTAGAGTCCAGTTTAAATGATTACTAACTTCGAAGGAACTCTGTTTCCCTAAAAATAAGAAAGTCATACTTGATGTCTCTATTATTATACACTTTTATGTATCCTTGATATATGTAAAAAGATCACTTTTTGAGATGTATGTTATTAGTATCATGATTTCGTTTACTTTAATTTATTGGTGCAGACCAGACAGTTGATTAAACACAATACACAATAAATAGCATTCTCATTCTGCTCTTCAAAGTATGATCTAGTTACAGTATGTTTTTATTTGTGTGTCAAAAAAATGTATTTTACCTGTAATAAAATGACTATTACAATTTCTTTGATTAGTCTAAGTATGTAGAATTCAAGATCCATAGAGGCAATAAAAACATCATGACTTTACAACCCAAAATAATACAAGTTGTAGGTTTTTCGCCGTAAAATTGTCAAAACCACTTTCAGAAGGGTACTTATATAAACTCTAATTCACTGTACAAATAATCAATTCAACTCAAATTTTTTTAAAAAATACTAAAGTAAACAATTCACATAACCTTCTTTGTGCCAACCAAATGTCATTCCATTTTTTGACAGATTTGAGGTTGAGAAAACAAATCGTAAACAAAAATGATCGTTCAGCGTCATTCCAACCGCTTATGAAACATGTTTCTTTGCTTTTAAAACATGTTTGACGACGATGAACACGGCCAGTATTATCTAAAATTCTAATGCATGTGGTCAGACGCGCCGTGCGAGGTTTCTAAACGCACTCCAGGCATGGGTTCACGGATGCTGCTAGGATTAAACAGGGCCGGTACCAGGGGTCGTGTCTCAGTAGGTGATTTAAAAAATAATTTTACATAGGACTGATTTTGTATATCATTGTTTTAGTAATTGTTTTGTGGGATTGGCTTTGATTAAATACATTTTATATCTGATTAATGTTGTGTATTATTGTCTTACTACACTGTTACTGTATTGTATTCCCATACAATAAAAGACAACAATCTATATGACATACGATGTGGGCAACCCTAAGAATAACAGAATTTCAACTGTAATAATTATTTTTTAGGTTAATAATAAAATGATTTAATTTTTATTTTATATTTCTATTTTTCAGGCAATAATAACGACTTTATTTTTCCTCCTTAAGTCAACATATTTTGCTACAGACAGTACTACTTCAGACAGCGGTATCAGTGAATCTTGGAGAAGCTCCAATATCACTGTGTCCAATGAGAATACACCTTTGCTGTTATCAACAACAGATGCAAGTTGTCAGCCTTATAAGGGACAAAAACAGTATTATACACAGAATCAAAATAGCGATGTTGTAAGTAACAATTACATTCTAAATATTTGAATATTCTTATAAAGGAATTGTTTTTTTTTTTTTAGTTTAATGAATATACAAGTTTATCAGATATAAAATCTACAATATCAGTTTCGATAACTGGAAAAGGATCCTCCGAAATTTAATATTTTTTATAAATTCAATTTTTTTATATATTTTCATATATTTTTATTTGACCGTGTAAGATACATTAAATATATTTTTAAGCATAGCTTTGGCTTTTTAGTATAAAATTACCCCGTCATCTCATGTTTATTTTCGAGAAAGAATGCTAATAGGGAGGCGTTTAAGTGAGCAGTCTGATCGGTCAAAAACGTCTAGCGAAAACAAAAAAACAACCAACATTATCAGTCATGACTAATCAGCTGATCGGTCACAGAACAGTCGAGAAATAACTGAATATGGTAGCCAAAACTGTATAGTGAATGGTCAATGGTGAATTTTAAGCAGTTGATTAGTTATTGCACTTACACACACAAAAAAGAATCTTCCACTATTTAATATCTGTGAATTGTTTTCACAGTCTTTTTAAATAGATTATAAAGACCGTATGGCAAAAGCAGGTGTTTGAAGCTGGTCTTGTACTTATTAAGGATTATTCTCAAAGCGATGCTATTTAATACAGTTGCTAAAGTGACGGATAAGAGAGCAACGTTATCTCATGGTCGACGGCTCATAGTGAAAGGTCTATTGACTCGCGGCACCTTGGATATTGAGAAATTAAGTCGGCGAAACAGGTCTGTGCGATCACATGCCTTAGCTTACTTAATTTCAGAAATCTCAAAATGGTATTCCATACAAAGATGAGAAATTGATGTGTTACAAAACTTAAACTTCGGCTTTAAGAAATTCCGTCGTTAAAACCAGCCTGTGCGATCACTGTCCCGGCCTTTCTGACGACCCAGAGAATAACGTAATAAATCCTAATAGTAAAGGCTAATTATGAAAGATTACCACCTTAGTTACCAAGTTATAAAAGACGGTGAAAATAAAACCAACGATCTGTATCTGTAACGTGTGGAGGGTGGGTTAACACACGGCACTTATGCCTCACTAGACCCATTGTGCATCCTCCTAAGTAGATAGGCTTCTGTTATATCGGCCGGTGTTAGCCAATTCTCACCGAACCCAAATCTTCTAATATAATATAATAATAAGTACAGTGTTGCCGCACGCCAAAATTTACCAGCAGTCCTCGTAATAGAATAAAAAACAAACATTTATAATACAATTAATTTATTATACTATTTTACATATGCAGAAAAAATATCACCACGCAATATTTTTGCTCTTTTCTTTAATTACAAATATAAGATACAATATTTGTGCATATTACACCAAAACGAGTTCGAAACAAGTAATTAATGCTCAATGAAAACAAAAATGCCCTTTTTTAATACTTGTCCCGAAGTATACTGAAAAAGAATGTAATAAGAAGTCGTTGTAAAATAAAGTATTTCCTGGCTCTTATTTTAGCTACCCAAAATTTGTGCTTGATAAAGGTTCTTCTCAAATTTAAACATTTCAAGACCAATTTAAAAGACATCCTTATCTAATATAACGCTAATTCGGCGATTCACAAAAGAAACTGTGAAATATTAAAACCGAAAAATTTTTATTTAAAAAAAAAACGAAAATAAACTAGAATTAGTTTTAAATCTGAGAAGAAACTTTAGAAAAAGTTTCGGCAACAACTTCCTAACTTAAATACGAAATTTCACAATAACGAATTTGAGTTTTACATTATGATAAAATGCTTCCATCAATCAAGAAATATAACGTATTCTTAATAATAATAAAAAACTATATAAAGATATTTTGAAATCATCAAATTGTAATAGTACAAAAAAATAGATTAAAATGAAAATACCTTATAAATTTGAACAAAAGAATGTTAAATTCATTCCGACTAGCAAAATGGCGGTATCTAATCTTCTACTAGTAAATACCTATATTTTTTTTATGATTTTTGAAAATATTTCGACTCAGTTCAACTTTTTTTTTTTGTAGAAACGAAAACTTTTTAAATTAATTTAGTCAAACAAAAATGTTTTAATACCTTAATGGAGTACCTAAATGATCAACAATACAGGGTGTTATTGAAATACATGTAGATGTTAGAAGAAACTCTTAGAATGTGCAAAAAGCTCTTCTAAAGTCATCAACCCCAAATACTCTGTATGAAATTTTGAACACAGGTTAGAATTCTGTTTATGGTTTTTGGAAAAACAGGAAGAAGGTGAACAATTTATAACGGATTTGTGAATAGACATCATTTTCATTATCACAGCACTGACAATAAACGGGAATTTTGAACTATACATCGACAAAACAGATGGTTATTTAATGTTTATGGTGGAATGATAGGAAGATACTTTTTCGATGGCCATTTAAATGGAACATTTTTAAAAATGTTGAAGAAAGATTTCTGGAAACATTTAGAGGATATTCCTTTGGATATTGACAAATGTGGCTGCCCATTTTTTGCATAATGTCAGGACATATTTAATCCAAAAACAAACACTACGTCTCAAGGTCATCTAATTGGTAAAAGTATCGATGGCTACACTAGATTCCACGGCCTGTTTCATGGTTTGTTTTCACTTTGGGGACTTATTGATACATTTCTTAATTCGTACTGAAAATTGGGGTTTCCTTTCCAAAAATTGCACACTAGTTTTCGAATTTATAACCTTTCTTCGTTACATTTCAATAACACCCTGATTAGGATACTATAATTATTAACACTTGCCGTTTTACCAGTCTTGTTTGCATCTTGTATGTAATACAACTTTGTGCACTCGCCTTTTTATCAGCCTCGATCGCTACTCCCGCTCGTCCAATAAAGATAATCGACACCGCGCAAAAAAAACATATCGTCTCTAAAACAACAAATTGGGCGCCACGAACAAACTGTGTGCTTAAACTTTGTAATTAAACCAATATCGCATATATTTTATACTTTTATGCACTGATCTGAAACACAAATTTAGAATCACTCTGTTGAAGGCTCCCGTTATAAATATATTAGTAGAACATTGTATAGTTTCGTTTATTTAATCATGCATAGCAATTATTATTTATTGCCCTATGTGCATAAATATTGAATGACCCAAACGTTTTTATTCAAATTGTAGTTGCCAAAAATAAAATCTGATTGGATTTCAAATAAGCAAATAATAAAAACAATATTTAAAAGGATTCCTTAAATCCTTAAAAACGGTCCTTTTAAAAATGATCACTTTGGTAATATACCATGAAACATGAACGGCGGATATTACTATTTAAAGTTTACATAAAAGCTTGTAGACTCTTTGAAACACATTGAACATAACTATTTTGGATCCGCTGACATTTAAAAGATTGTTTTTTACCAACTTAAAATATTTTGTGGAGTCTCGACCATGAAATAAATCATTTCAATTGATTTCTTGTTGTACAAAACGGCTAAATAATAATATTAGACTATCCATACAGCAATAAACCATACAAAAAAATTCCCTTCTTTACGATAAACCAGAATGCAAATTAAGTTTTTTAGAATCATTAGGAGTAGCTTCAGATAAATGTTCTGTAGAAAATTCTGATGTTTTCAGAAAAACGATTTTCTTCTTTGGTCTGACTCATCGACAGTTATAGTCTGGATTAATAGGAATGAACAATGATCAGTTTTTGTCAGAAATAGAGTAGCAGAAATCTATAAACTCACTAAGAGCAATGGTAATTGGTTTTTGTCTCCGACCTACCATTGAGAGGATGTTCAGCAAAGAAATTATTAAATTCTAGATGGTGGGAGGGACCTGAATGGTTAAAACGTTCAACTGATTTATGGTCTTCAAAAATGAAATCGTAAATTACAATGAAAGGGAAATTTTTGAAGAGTAAAGATTTATCATCGTATATATGTGTAGATAGTAATGTTAATTATTGGTATTATCGATATTTTTGAAATTTGAGAAAGTAGTTTGTATGATAGCTTAGATTAAACATTTTATTTACAAGTGCAGAGTCAACGTCATGGAGAATTCTATTACAACTCTATATCTTTTCAGAGGTGAGCTTGATATTTTGAGAGTAAATACAAAATTGGTAAATCACGAAAACACGTTCGATTTTCGTTGTCCTATTTTATTACCCTCTAAACATAGAAGAACATGTTAAATTTTGTCATGTAGGTGTACAGGGATTGTTAAGTATAATAAGAGAAACGTTCTGGATCTTATATGGCCGTCGGTCTATAAATCAGTAATTTCTAAATGTATTGTAAACGGTTTTCGTCCAAGAAATTTAGGTGTCAGAGATGCTAAAATGTTTGAGAGAGTTGGTGTAGATATAGCTGGTCAGTTGTATTTAAGGAGTAACAAAAAGGTATGGATTGCTTTCATCTTTCTCAACAGAAATATTCTTGCAAACGTTTTGGCGGTATGCTGCCAGAAGAGAACGTCCTAAGATTTATAGTAAATGAAAAATTTAAAAAAACCGACTTCAAAATCGTGCAGATGCCATTGCCACATCTTAACCAAATTTAAATGGGACCACCCCTGAGGTATCCCCTTACTAACAAAAAAGAATCGTTTAAATCGGACAAGGTGGTAAAGCATTATCGCTAAACATACATCATAACAAGTATTAGAAATTAAAAATTTTAAAAAACCGATTTCAAAAACGTGCATATGCCATCACATCTTAACCAAATTTATATGGGACCACCCCTGAGGTACCCCCTTACTAACAAAAAAAGAATCATATAAATCGGACAAGGTGGTAAAGCATTATCGCTAAACATACATAAAAAATGAAGAGTTTGAGGATTTTCTCATGGACCTAATTATTAGATTTTGACCAAATTTATATGGGACCACCCCTGAAGTACCCCCTTTCTAACAAAAAAGAATCATTGAAATCGAACACCGTGTTAAATAATTATCGCTGAACATACATAAAAAAAAATTACGACGAATTGAGAACCTCCTCCTTTTTTTGAAGTCTGTTAAAAATGGTTCTAATTTTATGGGGGCTTCTAATGCTTTCAAACAAATCAATTGGAGTCATGTTTGAAAGTACTATTGTGTAGACAAGATAGAGTGGAAGTTTAATGCACCAACCGCTAGTTGGTAGGGAGGTTTATTGGGAATTGTTTATCCATATATTGCGAAAGATGTTAGGTAAGGCTTGCTTAAATTTTGAAGAACTGCTAACAATTTGGTGTGAATGTGAATCTGTTGGGAATAGTAGGCCTCTAACTTATATTTCTGTTGCTTCATTAGAATTCCCTTGACATATTCTATGTTCATACAATATTTTACAGGAATTTGTATGGCAGATATGGATTTTATTGATTAGATAGACGTGCAAAGTACCAGAGTATTTAGGACAGTTGAGACATACCCAGAAATGTAAGGATTGTAAACACATAAAAGTTGGAGAAATTGTTTCAATAGGTAATGATAATTGTAAAAGAAGGGATTGACAAATGGAGAAATTAGACTAGTTTGTCTTCATACTTCAAAATTGTATACGTAAAATGTATACAGAACTACCCCTGAGGTATCACCTTTCTACCAAAAAAAGAATCATAGAAATCAGACAATGTGGTAAAGAATTATTACTGAAAATTCATAAAAAATGCGAGGTTGGTGATTTTCTAATGGGCCCCATTATTAGATATAGACCAAATTTATATAGGACCACTCCTGAGGTCTAACAAAAAAAAATCATAGAAATCGGACAACATTGTAAAGAATTATCGCTTAACATACATAAAAAAAATTAGACGAACTGAGAACCTCCTCCTTTCTTGAAGTCGGTTGAAAAGTGGGCCGATTTAAAGACATTTTCCACTAGAAATAGAGTCTTCAGTTGAAATTATCACGTCAAAAAAACATCTGAATCAACGTATTGATACGAAAGAGGAAACTGTGATTAAAACTCAGTGGACGTGAAATAAAAAAAAAACTGATTATTTAACTTTATCATTATTGATTGCAATGTATTGTTAAAATTTGAAATTTTGAAAGAAAATTAAAAGTATGATAAAAAAAATAAGAAAGTTGCTATGTAAAAATTACTATATAGTGTCAAACAGATTTTCACGTGGCTCTTAATTTGCAATTTTTTCTAATATAGATTCTGGTGAAGGATCCTGAGGTGCGAATTTCATAATTTTAGCATTAATATATTGAAGTAACTTACTTTTTATAATATTTTAACTGAAATTAAATATGGAAGAATACGTTTCATTTGCTATTTTCATTTATATTATAATAAAATGCAATATTTTGACTGATTTAACCTAACTTTTCATCATTTCCTTCCATAAAACCTAAAATAAAGTGATTCGTGAAATTGTCAGGATTTTTGACACATACGGTCCTCGAGTTTGCAAAGTTGCCATACTATATTGTTCACTCCAGAATCCAAGGGCACTATATCTAGGAGGATATCAAATAGAAGAGGGAGATTTACCTAACTTGAAGCCACTTCAAATCCTACACTTCCTTGAGAAAATAGGATTGGAAGGGTCGCTATAGGCATTGAGACATTTCCTTAGTGCAGTGGCGACAGAAGGGGGCACAATAGATCTTTTAGGTCGCAGTGTATTAACACCTCATTCTCAACATAACATAATATATTGTTGATTTTTATCACTGTCTGATAATTTCCAAGATTTCTGTTTGAATGAGAAGAAGAAAATATAATAATTACTGGTTACAGGTGAATTACAAAGCAAATATAATTATTGGTTATAGGTGAAAATATAAAGTGTTATGTGAGACTTTTCATTTCATTTTGAGCTGTGTCCAGGCCGTTGGAGTATATGCCGGTAGGCGTTGTTTCGTTTTGAATTAAAGAAAATTTAAAAAAGTTGTCTAGGTATTACATGTTAAGTGATTTAATTAATTTCACTTTTTAATTTTGTATGTAGTTTTTTTTGAGCTGCATTTTTAAAATTAATTTGGTTGATATATTAATTTTTTCATTTTATATACGATTATTATTATGATTTTGAAGCAAACGAAAAATGTATGATTTTTAATTACTTCTATTTTATAATCTCATAATTATTTATAAATTTTAAATAATCCTTAAACTTATAATTTTATTAACAACTTGGCAACGTTTGTTATTTTTAAGACAGAAACGTCAGAAACTGTCATTTAGAGTAATTGTTCTGTGATTATAACAAATTGGGATTTTTAATTCAAGTTTTTTCGAAAAATACTGCTTCATCCATAATTTTTTTTTTTTTTTCGAAAATTTACTATAGAAACTAGTTACTTTTAAGTGTTTAAAACATTTTTTGTGAATTTCGCACCTCAGGATCCTTCACCGGGCCCCTAATATATACTTATCAACGCAGTAAATAATCAGAATCCAAATTCACTAGTTCTTTTTCCTTCATTAATAGCAGCAGAATATTTAGGCATAATTTTCATATTACTTATTGTAGAACCCATAGAAAAATAAAAGGTAGAACCTATTTTTAGTGTTTTTAAAAATATATCATAGGCGGCGATATGATGTAGTCTATAGGCGACACATTTGTAAATCCGACTCTCATTACCATGGACCAAAAGTAATAAATTTATTGCAATTATAATACTCTGACAACATTCATCATAAATGAAATTGTGCTTAATAAGTTTGGTTATGTTATCTTCTTCTTCTTTATCTTTATTTGGGCTCAACTCTTCTGAATTGTTTACCAAGCACCATTTGTAAATATTTTTTAATTATGGAACAAGCTGCGCTCTCACGCATCTGACTCTAAGACAACACTTCTTCCAATGTTCATAACGCCATGTGACAATTTATATTCATCGAATTCAAAAATATTATCACACTATTCTTGATATCAAAAAGTTAATCACATTAAGTTAAAATTCACTTTTCGATGGCCATTCTTATTAAAGATTTTGTACGAAAACACATACACACGTGACTCCCGATTCTGAGACCGCCATTTCAATGTTGACACCACGGTGTCGGAATCGGAAGTCAGTTATGTTATCTGGACAGGGATTCTTATAGACGTTTTCGGAATCCTACTATAGATAACAAATCCAGATTACTGGGTTTATTCGATGAATCACGTGGATCACTGAACTTAGTGCCGACAGTTTACGAACAAGTTGGATTATTGTTCCCGTTTATCTCCGTCTGTCAATCTCTGACTTTTCCTGCGAAACTGTCAATATTATAAACCCTTATTTTTTAAATATCCATTTTATTTAAACATATTTCTAGTCTGACTAATAAAGTCGCAATATGGAAAAGAAGATTACAATTTATAACTAATTGAATCTAGAAAAAACATTAAAGACACCAGACACCAAAAAATTGCGTTATCCCTTTATAAAATTACTATTACTAATCTACTCGCAGATTGGATCACAAAATATTGATTTCGATCACAAAGCTGGATCAGTAATCCACTAGTTTCCGAACACGGATAGGGTTAGTAACCATAGGTAAATGAACAATAAGATCCATAATCTTTCTAATCCGAATAAGTTTCCAAAAACGCCTTATGTGAGTACTCAACACGTAACAAATCAAATAAAGAGAGACACTACATACAAATCGCATTCTGTGGAACGAAGATAGTCGTCTCAGCACGTGCCTTATTAAAAGATCTTCTTCTATGTGATTATGGGCTTAATCCGAGGACTATCTATCCACTCAGGTTAAGTTATTTTTTCAAATATTGTTAAGTGGAAAAGCTGCACCCTCGTGCGTCGGACTTCTGTCCTCACTCTTCCACTGCACCTGATAATTAGTTTAAATATTCTTCTGTATTCTTGGCACAGAATATTTAATTTAGTATTATTTTTAAAGTCGGATGGTCACTTTTACACTAGATATTTAGTGATTATTATTGGACTTCAGGGCTCCCGATTCGGAAACCGCCATTTCAATGTTACCACGACGATGTCCGAATCGGAAGTCAGTATTGAAAAGATATGAAGCCCAAAGCTGACTTTTTTACTTCAATGGCCTATTCCCATGTGTACTATTACTTCTAAAGTAGTTCAAATGAATCTTAAATGCAATGTTCTCAAGCGTTCCTCTAACATTATGGAAAAAATTAAAGGAAGGCTAAAAGTAATATTTTTAAAGGACTTTTAAAGAATATGAATATTGTTAGTAGATACAACTTGAATAAAAAGTTTGGGGCAATTAAATTAGTAGGTAAGATATCAAAAAACGCAAATAATTTGGCTGTCGTTCTATTATATTAGGAAACCTATAATAATTCACATTAGGTTATATGTATTTATTTTTTTGTTTACATTGTTTACTGTCCTTTAAATAGCTACTTTTTTAATGGTCTTTAGCAGTAAAGGGAGTTTATTTATTCATTTTCTAAAGGGTTGATGATAGAAATAAATGTCATAATAAAAGCAATATAAAAAAAAAAATTTATAAAATACAATGGTCGAGATACTATCCTTAGATTTTAAACTGTTCTAGTCTAGAACTTTAAAGTAAAACGACACGTTGAAAAAAAAAAGGATCAATTTAAAAAAATATTTAAATTATTCCAATTTATTCAAATTTAAAAGAATGTGCATTTTTTCACACTGTGCTGATACTAAGACACTAAAATACACTCAAAAATATAGGATGTCCTAGAAAATAATGTGTGAAAATAACTTCACATAACCCACTATATAAAAAAATTGTATTATTGTCCTAAACCTTCCACAGCCTTATACAGGTTTCGTCTCTAAACAACCAAACTATTTAAATGATCATTCTATTCAGTTCAAGACAGTGAACAATATAAACAAAAAAAATTCGGGGACGTATTTCATTAAATTAAATCACATAAAACTTCATAAAAAAATTAAAAACGTATAGAAAATAACCCTCTTCAGTCGACTTTAACTACGCTATAGATCTTCCTGATGAACCAGAAACAAGCGAAAAATCCTATTGTTCCGGTTAAAAGATTAAACAAGAATACCATGATGATAGTATAGCCGAAATATAAAAATCCCGAAGCGGCGTCTTCTATCTGAAGCTTCGTGAAGAAATAATGACAACAGTATAAAAAGAGATAGACAGAAGTGAAACCGGAAGTCAGGTAAGACCTCCACCACCAGTGATAGTCTTCAGCGCAAAGATGGAAATAGCACAATAAGATCGTGGTTTCTGCACAGGTTATAACTAGTATGATGAATACCAAGAAAAGGAATCCGAACATGTAGTACATCTGCGATGACCAGATCGATTTTAGAATGAAGAAAAGTTGAATGAAGATACAACCAAACGGCAAAACACCTCCCATAATGATACTTGGAATGGGTTTTGTGTAAACTGATTGTTCGGGAATAAGCCTCGGTATTTGATTAGTCCTTACTGGATGTTCCAAAGCCTGAAATGAATGAATGATTATAAAAAACCAAGTACTTAACAGTAATCAACCATTTCTTACCCGTTTTCTGAATCCAAAGAATGCACCAACAAAAGTAAGTGGCACTGATACCAACCACCAAAGTGCTAACAATCCAATCAAAGTGCTAAATGGTACAGCGGCTGAGCTCTCGTTCGCCCACAAGACCAGGTTCATTATGAAGAACAACCCAAAAACAAACCTGCAAATTTGATATCGTAAAGTGTTAGGGATCATCCTAAACAAAAATGAACTTACCCAGTCGCTAACATAGACGTCAAAAGCACGTTCGACTTCCACTTTTCTCCGCCGAAGCTCTTATATATTCTGGCGGAAACGTAACCAGCCGGTGAACCCAGTAAAACGTATAACACCATAGCGCATGTCATCAGAGCGCCGCGATTGGCTGGGCTGAGGAAACCGAGACAGGCGAAAGCTAGTGTGACCAAACACATGAAAAATACTTGAACTCCGGAGCCTAGGAGTACAGAAAGGAGCATGCCTTTTCTCGGTGGCCTGAAGACGTCTCCGTGGACTAGCTTCCAACCAAATTCCTCCTTCAAACACATTGTTTTTATTACTTTAAAATAATAGTAGTTTATATACCTAATTGTAAATAAATCATAATATTTGATACCCAAAAACCACAAATTTCAAAATATTTATTATAAATCACATTTAAAGTTATGATAAAAAAATAAAATTTTAAATTTCATCTTTAATCCTGTATCTGTCTTATAAATATTTTGAAATCAAAAATTTACTATACTTCTATGTACAAATCCTTAAGGACCACCCTGTATAGAAAATTTCTACTTTTCGATTATATTCAATTAAAAAAAATTATTAAAATGATTATAGTTACTACTCGCCGAAAAATATTTACCTGAGCATCTTCTCCATTATCAATTTGATTATACCTAGCGATATCTTTGTGTAATGTCCGCAGTAAAATCATGGCTACCATACCAGACAAAAATATAACGATTACGAGCGAATTCAAAATACTGAACCACTGAATGTTCGTATGAGGCATCGATTCGAGTATGTAGTCCCATCTTGAAGACCATTTGACATTGTCGTTTAGTACAAAATTGATATTGTAAGTGTAGATTATTTCGAATGTTTCACCACGTTTCAAGTTCTTGTTAGGTATTGCCAAGGGTTCTGTTTCGTATTGGGAACAGTTGTGCCTACAATTTTTTGTTTGTTTGAAAACTACAATGAGGAATTATCCTACTTCCTATTTGAACATTAAGAAAAATTAAATTCACAGAAATGGTTTGCGACATTCAGCCTTAAAATCAGTAAACATAGACGTGCGTTTTCAAGATGAAGCATATAATTAGTAAAATGAAATTATTAAATTTGTTTTTAAGAGCAATCCAGTCCCTTCTGACGTCACACCGCACGAATCTCACGACCTCCCCTTAAAGTATTTGGAACCCTGTTCGCTACATAAATTTGGCAATGTTGTGTGTTGTACGCTGAAGGATAATTATGGGTAGGGTCCGATTACAATTCAGGTATAATTCGTTGGCTATCGCCGCCTACTGGGGGTTAGTGGCTTGTTAATATACGAATGTAGGAATACTATTTTTAAACCAAACAACTCAAATATTTTTTATTTATTGATAGTTATAGATGATATACAGGATGTCCCGAAATTAGACGGTCATATTTTAACAGCGTAATCTACATCCTAAAATAGTAGTAAAAGTTCATATAAACATAGGTCCGAAAACTTTTTTCCGAGATACAGGGTGTTAAAGGTGAAGTCCTGATACCACACTTTTGTAAATATTTTCTAAACATTTAAAGATAATTAGGTAAAATTTGTTACAAATACTTACCTTTTTACGCTTCATTTATTGGACTAAACCCTAGTTTTTGATCATCTTCTTAGGTGGGTAAATTAGGGGGAGCTTAGGGTAAAATTGCCGTGTGTGTCTGTGTGTCTATATCCACCATAACTCATGAACCGATACACAGAAAAACACTAAATTTTAAACTTAAGTTTTATTTCGGCCTGACGTGAAATGATTAGATTTTGGACAAAGTCGGAACATCTGGGGGGTACTTTATGGGAGGCCGTTTTTATATTTTATTGAATATATCTGTTATTTATGTTTGGAGAAGAAAATTATTCAAATAAAAGTTACTTCTAAAATTATTATCTATAATTTTTGCTTTATGTCAAAATTTCCTGAAATGGTCCGTATTCGAGAAATTTGACAAAATGTGCAAAATTCTAAACTAAACTAAAAGTTGTTTGCGATATCGATCTCTATAATTTTTGTTTATACATGATTTTTCTAAAATGGACCGTAATGGAAAAATTGTAGGAAAATTGCTAAATTTAAATTTTCCAGTATTTTCGTTTTCAATGAATAACTATAGAAAAATGTTCCGAGGAAGATAGATGTATGCGGAAAATGTATATATTTAGTTTATTCTCTAAACATTTATAGAGGTACTGCAATAAGTTGTACAAAATAACCAGAAAAAGCCTATAATAACTAGATAGGAAAGTCATGTGTTGGACACATCAGATTTTTTTGAAAAATTTGGAAAACCAATATTTTCTGTATAATAAAGCTACATTTGTTGCATCTCGCTAGGACGCGCCATTTTCAAGAGAAAAGCTGTTACCTTATTCGAAAGTGTCAACAATAATTAGTAGGTCTGTAGAATTAGAAATTTTATTTTTTTTTTAACTTTGAAAAACCGGTAACTAAAGAAATTTTAGAAAATATTTCATCTGGACTTCACTTGTAACACCCTGTATCTCGAAAACGAAACGTTTTCGGACCTATGTTTATATAAACTTTTACTCCTATTTTTAACCGACTTCATAAAAGGAGGAGGGAGGTTCTCAATTCGTCGCAATATTTTTTTTTATTTTTTTTTATGTATGTTCAGCGATAATTCTTTAACACGGTGTCCGATTTCAATGATCCTTTTTTTGTTAGAAAGGGGGTACTTCAGGGGTGGTTCCATATAAATTTGCTCAAAATCTAATAATTGGGCCCATGAGAAAATCCTCAAACTCTTGATTTTTTATGTATGTTTAGCGATAATGCTTTACCACCTTGTCCGATTTATATGATTCTTTTTTTGGTAGTAAGGGGGTACCTCAGGGGTGGCCCTTTCGAATTCGGTTTTTTTAATTTTTAATTTCTAATACTTGTAGGATGTAGATTACGCTGTTAAAATATGACCGTCTAATTTCGGGACACCCTGTATATTGGAAATTCGAAATAATAGTTATGACGTAGCGGTATTTTTCTAATTGTAATCGGACCCTAGGTATATGGATACGGAAAGTGATGAATTGGAGATAGGTAAATTGTATTTATTGTATTAAAGGAACAACAAATATAAGTACAATTAAATAAGTATATTAATATAACAATTTTTTAAAGTCTGTATTAAAAAAAAATTTCTTCACATTGATTATTAAATTAAAAAAATAACTATTAAAACACGAAATGTTAATTTTTTTTCTTTTACAACACAAAATATACAATACTGTTGAATCAAAATTTTCTCTTGGCAGCAGGTGGTTTTTGTGACGCGACAATTATGATTCTTTGCATCTCATGAATTAAAGCTAATTCTCTTTCAATCTTAAGGTGATCATACCCCTTATAATTTTCGGACAAGAATATCTCAAAATATTTAAATTTTGGCAAAATAAATTAGGCAATAATATCTATAATATGCATATATTTTAATGTTTTAATTCCTTCCAGTTTCCCAAAAAAACTGCTTTAATTTTGAAATATCATAATGAAAATAAATGCATTCCTCGACAGCACTATTCTTAATATAATCCACAAATTTAAGCTCCTAATGTCTTGTTAATGATTTCTTAAAATTCGCCAAAATTAGTGGCTAAAACGCTTCGTTAAGTGCTATCTTCTGGTGTAAACTGGTGTAAATTATTGCAAGAAACGAATAATGACAGAGTGTACGATACGATCGTTACAAGCCCGTTACACTGTTTTCCACTCAATTTATAAAAAAAAAAAAAAATAAATTAGGGTGTTATTTTTTTTTCTCTGAAGCTATTGGTTTTGGGAAAAAAATTCAAGAATAAAAAAAAATAAATAAAACAAGGATTTCATAAAAGTTCATCTCGAAAAAAAGTTTTGATATGAAATAAAGTAAGTGTTGCTAATTTCACCCCCCTATAATGTAACAGAAATATTGAAAAAATATTCGTGGTTAGTCCTTTGCGATTATAGAATTTCAAGTTTCTAGCTTTACTGAAATTTTAGAAAAAAAATAAAAACTCAATTTTAGTCACCACCTTTTAAGGGTGATATCTCGAAAAGGGGTAGGCTGAGGAAATTTTGTTATAGGAAAGACCCATCTTAATTTTAAACGAGCAATCAGTTCCTGAATTTTGTCGCATGTATTTAGAAACACCCTGTATATTACACATTTTTTTAAGCGTGCAAAATTCTTGACAATCTCTTTGCCCTAATTGGTACATGTAGTATTTTCCTAGAATTTACTAACTCTGGCAGCAAACAAATAAAATAGAAATTTGTCAGCTGTGCATTTTTGCCTTCCAGAATTTTTCATTTCATAAATTAACTAAAAACTAAATTAAACAAAAACCTAACAACGCCTCAACAACAAACTAAGACGATCACAATAATTTCGCACCTTTTCAAAAACAACTACCTATTTTTCGACACAGGAATTAAAAAATTTAACTAAACAGCAGCTACCCTTTTAACCACGGGCTTCATAGACTAGCAGCGTTGCCATATTCACTGGTATCATTGTTTTAATAGAATTAGTATCGGAATGAAAACTATGTTAATCTTCGGTCCTGTTTAAAATTGGTAATCTTTTTGAAAAAAAGTTATTCAGAAAATAGTTAAGATATTTGTTATAGAATGCCGGTAAAGAGCCAAAAAATTAAATTTGTTAAAAAGTTGAAATTTTTGTTGTTTTTCTTTAAAAATATAAGTTTTTCGCGGTTTAGCGAAATTTTAAGTTCATTTTTACAACGATTGGCCTGAACCATTTTTTTACAATTTTTTTTTAACTGCCTCAAATGTAAAATTGATTTTTGACGGAGGAGCGCCCGTCATATTTGCTCTTAACACGAAATGTTTCTGTGAATTTCCTCAAATGTTCAAATTAAGATAAGAAATATATAACTAATGACAAATATCGAAAATATATGACAAATAAAACACCCTAGTGAATTTTTGTCTTTTAAAAATAATGAGTTTGTTTTGGTTCAAACAGCATCATCGATTCCAGTTTTCAACTAAAAGTTGATGAATTCATTTTTCAAGAATATGTCGTGATAATATAACAACCTATTAAGCTGAACAAGAGTAATTCACTGATTCTGAACTAGTTTTGTGAAAGAACCAAAACAAGCCTAATTACTACATATTTTCCGAATGTCTGATAATTTAATGACTCATTTAAGATGAATTACAAACTTATTATAAACATTAGTGACACTCCTTCTAAAGTGAAAGATGTCATAAATCCAGTAATTTCAAATATGTTACTGGCGAAGACCAAACTATTGTAGGAGAAAACATAAAAGCGTTGATATGAAGTCACTGTTAAACCTTTTAAAAAATATCATATTTTACATATTCTTAGTAACCAATTCATCTTTTTTTAAATCCTTATTTATTTGACATTCTAAATAATATCTACATTTACTTAAAAAGCTTAACTCTACAAATAATGTCTAGCTATGTTAAATGTTATTGAATTCAATACTAATGTTTTTGATAATGAAAATATATTTTTGAACAATATTAGTCATTTAATACCATTATCATTTTTTTTTAAGATAATGTAATAATCTTTTTTACTAGGCTATAAATTTTAAAATACATAAATATAATTCCAATTATCTGTACCAACATTAATATTAATATTATCCTCCCTCTTTATTTAGTTATAAAATAATAAAGCTTCAATGTCAAATGTGGAATAGTATGAATGTACATGAATGTAATTTATACCACAAATTATTGAAACTTTGTATTAAAATTCTCAAAAATCTCTTTCATAAATGCATTAAGAAGCATTCAAGAATTGAAAATGCAAAAAACCTAAGATAATATTGACTTTAATACATATAAAGGAATTTTAAATGTGTGCACTTTGTGAATTATTCAGTTTAATAGATAAGAAATTAATATAAAAAGCTTGTAAATCAAATATTTGTCCAAACTACATGTTATCATAATCTTAGTAACTAAATACTAAGTAACTAAAACTTATCAGAATTTTATTATGTTAAAAAACAAATATTACTTTGATTTTAAAGTAAATGATAAATAAAAAGTGATCCACAAAAAATGTTTCTAAAGTAGGCTACGCGCGGCACTGAATTAAATTCACTTGACACTTGAAAAGAAGAATTGTATTGTACAAGCACTACTTTTGAAATATTTTTTTTAATCACTGCTTATAATATCAATAAAGTTTTAATATAAATTGATTGCTTAGAAATTACAATATTATTATTGTTTGATTTGTTATAATATATAATTAAATATTATCTTAATAATAGTCAATTATAGAAATTTTATTTCAAAAAACTTTCCTAAATAAAATATAAAAATGAAAAATATTAGAGACATAATATATATATATATATATATATATATATTTTTTTTTTTAATATAATAAACAATCATAATTATGGATTCATTCACTTCAAATTATTCATTTAATAGGTAAGTAGGTAGACATTTTTTTTTCAACTAAAGTAATATGATTGTAAATTCTATAGATGTAAATATTATATACTAAGAACTTAATAAACGATAATAAATAATGTAGGGGTTATACAAGTTTGTCAGAAAAAGGTAATGTTCCATGGTTTGATAATGACATTCATTATAAAATAAAGGATAGGGATAAAATGTATAAAGAATTTCAGACCTCTCTTTGTGCTGATAAAAACGAAAAATGGAAAGCACTTAAAAAATTGAGTAATGAAGTTGTAAATTTGCTATAAATAATAAAAGAACAATATTATTTTAATAAAATTGATAGATATAAAAATAATTCTTGACTAATGTGGAAGACTTTTAAAAAGTTAATAAATACAAAAGGTTAAAAAGGTCCAATTTTAATTAAATTTAATTTAAACAATGAATGCCAAATCCAACATAAAGTTACTGAAATTGCAAGTAAATTTAATATCTTTTTTATGAATAGTTGATAGCATCTCAACTGAAACAACGGGAAATTTCTATAACTATAATATAATCTATATCCTGAATTTTCAAATTTTCATTTGTCATCAGTCAATGGACAATAAATGTTGTATTTATGAAATTACTAAAGGCGAAATGTTGGAAGAAGTATTTGAAATATGTGGTCATGTTATTTTAAATCCAATTAATACTTCAAGCTGCAATAGTATCAGATTCATTAAAAGTAAGTACTACAATAGTTCTAATTCCTAAAGTAATGCAATAAATGCTTCTGAATTTTGACCTATAAATACTTGGCCACCTATAGAAAAAGCGCTTAAATTAGTTGTATATGAACAAACATATTGAAAACAATTATGTTTTATTTATTAACTAATCTGGATTCCACAAAAAAAACACTCCTGTAAAACAGCTCTGCAACTTTCCTTATTTAAATTTAAAACAGAAATAAACAATAATAATTATGTAGTAGCAGTTTTTGTAGATTTAAAGAGAGTTAAATATTATATTAAAGAAACTTACCAGATATGGCATTAATGGTTGAGTTTTAAATTGGTTAATTATTTATTTGGAAGAAAACAAAGAGTAAAAGTTAAATCCATCTGCTGAAAATGATATTAACATTGGTGTACCTGAAGGTAGCGTCCTAGGGCCACTTTTATTTTTTTAAATATAAAAGATTTAAACCTCTTTGCTCATTGTGCCTTTAAAATATATATTTGCAGATGATTGTTGTTGTGATAATAATGTGGAAAATGTGCTACAAAAAATGAATAGGGCTCTAAACTCTGCCAAATAAAACTTAACGTATCAAAAACTAAAGCTATGATAATAACTACTAAATATAACAATATAGATTTAAATACAACTAATCTTACAATTAATTAACTGATATTGTAACATCAACCAAATACCTTGGCTTAACTTGATAATTTTTTGTTTAATGAACATTTTAATCATATTAAAAAAAATATCGAAGAAACTTTACTTTTTTGCAAGATTACCAAAACACCTATCAGCTGAAACTAAAATTACAGTTTATCATTCAATTATTCCACCACATTTTGATTATTGTTCATCAGTTATCTTCCTTTTCAACCTAAACCAAACACCACAGTTACAAAAACTGCAAAATCTTGATATGAGGATTATATTGAGATATAGCAAATACACTCTACCATGCTTAGATCACTGCAATGGATTTCGGTTTAAATGTTTTGGCACCACCTTATTTTCAAGAATACAATAATTTTAACAATATTCATAACTATTCTACCAGAAATAACAGTAACATGCACATGGAACAAATAAATGAACATTCATGAATTCCTTATTTTTCAAATACTTTGATCATTACAAAAAGTTGTTAATCATCAGTAACTTTTTAAAAATAAAATGATGAAACATATTCATGATTGATGAGATAAGTGTAAATATTGAATAAATGTGCTTATTTCCTTTAAAAAAATTCATTTGATGATATCGATATGTACCTATATTTCTGTATATACTTTTATATTTGTTTGTATATTAGGGTTACCTACTTATTTCTTAGTAAACTAACTACCAGATAAGTCTTAGTTGGTGTCCTAGCCAAGAACACAAACTATGAATTATCTTTTACTTGCCAGTCAAAGTGTTGCAGAATTATAAAAATAAGTACCTGAAATAGTCGAATTAATGATATAAATACACTTACCCCTTGTAATCAATACTTTTAGGAACAACTTTAACTGAAATAATCCTTCCTCCATTCTCATGAAATTTATCACCCCATTCTTCATGAGCTCCAGAATGATATGTAATAGTGAGATTAACATGATTATAAATGTAGTTAGCATCTTCTCTTCCCACATCTTTGAAACAGTTGTGTCTTCCATTTCTGGAGTAGCATCCCATAGGAAAGCCAGTTCGACAGTCGTCTGCATCATAACAAGTGGTAATAGGCATATTATCAACTATCCAATGATGTTGATAGTTGAGACTAATTCCTTTTCTTAACATGCCGAGGCTCAAGTTGTCTGAATATTTGTCTCCAGAATATTTTTTAACACACACAACTTGGCAGGATACATTTTTCATAAACTCTATTTCATAGGGTGATGGGCGGATTCTTTCCCCAAATACAACCTGTCCCAAGTTCTCTACTGGAGATTTCTCATTATTAGTTGGTAGACAGAAATCAAAATGATGGTATTCATATGGTATTATTGATTCTTCTGTATTCAGTCGATTTACAAAGAGTTTCACTTCAGACTAAAAAAATTAAGTAAATAAAACTCACTTTTTAAGTAGACAAGATCATACCTATAAGGTATGTTTAGCTAGATTATCAGGTCATTAAACAATATACGAATATACTTCTCTAATAAAATAATGTACTTACTTTACAAGCATCTGTCGCCTCATCTTTTTTACAATAATTTACAGGTGCCAAACCAGGCAGGTAAAAAGATTCAACTGCAACGTTAATCCATAAAATAAAAAATATTGTTTTGAACATTTTCGATTTGATTTTTCATCTATCTTTGTATTTTAAGTAATACACGTTGACGAACGGCGAACGGTTGGCAGTTTCAAAACGTCACCAAATAATTGATCCGAAAACTGATAAGAATTTGCCGTACACCGCACCAAATTATATTCTGTAAAAGGTAGGGATGTAAATATATTAATATGTATGTATTAGATTAAATAAATAATCAAGCAGTGTATTAATAGCAAAATAAAATAAATACAAAACCTTTCCAGTATTATTTTGCTTGTCTGGGTAGACGTCAATGTCAATTGTCAAGTCAAAAAATAAATAATCTTCTGTTTCCTCAGTTTCTTCTATCACAAAGACGTCGTCCCTTCTAGCATCCAGCCAAGAAAATAATTTTATTCTAAAATACAGGGCCGTCTCAAGTCATGGGGTTTAGATTTTATACATACGAATTCGTTCGTTACTTCAAGTGAATAATGCCTTAAAAAATCAATTATCGGAAGAAATGTTTCTAAATTACTTTTCTTTACAAGAGCAAATTTTTCATAATTATACAAAAATGCAACGACAGAGATTATGTTTATAGTCAACTATAACGTTTAATAAGTGGTATCTATCTCATTTCTAGTTGACTTTCTTTATAACCATGTCGATCCGCAAGTAAGGCTTGAAATATTTTGTGGCTCCTATGAAGGACAAAATAATAATTATACATTCTTTCGTTCAAGTAGTTCATCGCCAGAAGAGGCTGAATTACATTAAGGTTATTTTTCCAATAAAAGACCACTTTCTATATGGATAATAATAAAAATAGGGGCCATATAAACAACAAAGCCAGAGTTGAAATACCAGAAGAACTATATGAATTGATTAGTTTAACTAGGTGTAATACGTCTCCTTTTACTGTGGTTCAAATCAATGAAGAGAATCAAGCGGTCTTCCGTCGCTGGACTAAATATTTAAGTAATGTTATAGCAAGAAATGCCCATTTCCAACAAGACCAATTAATGTTACCTTCTTTTAGATTTCTACGATGTAAATTGTACTTAAGAGGTGATTTGGCTCAAATTGCTGATACTGCGTGGATTCATAAATTGACCAGGACAAATGAAATCAGAGTAGCTTGACCGGTTCGCAGGCCAAAGTCTACTTTACGATAAAATTAAAGATATTATAATACGATAACGACAAAAAATGTTGAGCCCACCAAGTTTTTGAGTAACTTGGAAAACTTATCTGATTTGATATGTCCTGTTTAATTGAGTCAGTCTCTGGTACTTAAAAGTTATCTGTATGAGTTCTGACAAATAAAAGAAAGTCAGAAAATCTAATACATTTAATAAAAAAAGTAAAAAGAATGAAATTTTACATATAATAAATTAATAGTTAGTGATTAAATCTGAATAGAAAATGAATTACGAATTTGAGTGAATAAAATTTACTGTTAGATAATTATTAATTGTCCCGACCATGTGGCAGTGGTACAGTAAGTACGGTACTTCCCTTTTATGTCGTGTCTTGGACAATCCGACTTTAGGTAATTCGATACTTATTGGGGTTTGGAGCTCGGAACTTGGAGAAACTACGTAACTCGGACTTCTTGTTCCTTAGAGCTTCCTGGAGCAACTACGTAACTCGGTACTTCCAGTTTCTCAGAGCTTAGATCTTAGAGCTTCCTGGAGCAACTACGTAACTCGGTACTTCCTGTTTCTCAGAGCTTTTAGGAGCAACTAGGAGTTTCTTGACTTCTTGGAGCCACTACAGGTTTAGAAATAAAAAGAACCTTAGTACCATGTGTAAAAGTACATATACATGCCAGTTTGAAAATCTAACGGATTTATGCATAAACGGGACAAATATTAAAGTTACATCGTCTGAACAGAATATAAAAGATCACGACAAATATTAAAGTTACATCATCTGAACAGAATATAAAATATTTATAAGGCCAAAATAAGTTATAACAATAAGTTTTACTTGTAATTCAATTATTTAGTTGCCTCCCCGCGTATATATCAAAGAAAGCTTAAAAATATTATTAGTTAGGGTAGCTATAATCTATATAAAATAAAGCAGTAATAATAAACCGGCATTCGTCGGCATGATGGTAATAAAAAAAAGCAAATGGCCAAAGTATTTTCGGGTTTCCAATGAAATCCAGCAAAATGTGAATAATATAAGGCGATAGAAACATTACCTGACAATTATCCCAACGTTAACACAGAATATACACATAAAAGACAGATAATTACTAGCAACTAATTTAATACATTTATCGGCACAAGCTAGCACGTTGAATTCGATACACCAAAAAGACCGGTTGAATCCAAACGAATCGATTTTATAACGACAGGTTGCTCAAAGAAACCCCATGGACCGTGCGCAAACGGTGCTTTCCAAATTTCGAGAAGGAAGCGAGCGGTGGTCGTTTACGTTGTGTTACGAGGGGTTATGGAAAGGTTGTTGTTAAAAATAAATCTAAAATTAATTTCACGCAACAAGAACTAGAAATATAGTGCATCCAAGATTTCAAAAATATCGAGGTCACTATTATAGTGCTGTATGTAAAACTGGGATTTTCACGGAAAAGAATTATAGGTGCCATATGAACAGATTTTAAGAGACAACGAATTTATTCTTGCTGGGCTATCTTGCGAAGGTAAGATACTATTGTATAATTGGCATTTTTCTCTGAACTAATGGGACTTTTTGGGTTGCTTCCTGTGACTGCTGAAAAATACCGTGATCTTCAATGTCTCAAAAATTATTGTGGACCGTAGCTCAAAGCTTTTTTGAAAAACTATCTATAAAATTGGTTTTGCTTTTGATATGTTTAATGTGTGAATTTATTTTTTATGAATGTTAAGTATTTTCTGTACCTATCTATTATTTTATGGAAGAAACGAGAAAAAGGAACTTTAATTCGTGAGGATTTTTGAATTTTCGTAACGAGAAGACACTCCATCAAATATTGCATGCTGACTTCGATGATGGAAATTCTTAAAGCCGTAATAAAAATTGAATTTCCAACTTTGTAACGAATACCGTTTTGTGAGTTCTGAAGTTACGTAAGTGAAGCAAGTTCAACAAATATCGTAGGCTAATTTTGCAAACTTAATTTTTCTACATCCAAGGTTTCCCCAGGCCATAAGACTTTTCACTGCTCCAGCAATCAGTGGAAATTTTAATTCACTAAGAATCGTATATTTTGGGAAAAACCGTCTGTCCGAAATTAATTTTAGTAACAGCTCGTGTGGATGCCTTTAACATCTCCATTAATTTTTGGCGGTTTCCGAAGTTTACACTTCGATTTATCCATTATAAGCGAGTAAGAACACTAATAAATTCTTCTACTTCTAAATGTTCTGTTGGTTTTAGAAATACGGTCTTGTTTAACAGTATTATTTTCTGTCTAAAAGTATTATTTCCTGATCTTTATAACGTTTATAACGGATGGACTAATAATGAATATCATAAATAACTAAAATACGTAAGAAAAATAGATATTTGATTTAATAGTACAATATAAAATATTAAATTACAAATAAAAACACACATTTTTCCATTGGGTATTAAAACTTTTATACAGTTATTAATAAAAAATATATAATACATATAATACATAAAAATATATAAAACTAACACACTAAAATGGAAGAAAATTGTACTTCTTTCTTAAATGGTCCTTTCTTTCTGCTAATCTTTTTCTTCCTACTCGTTTTACATAATGGTTGATGGCGTTGATGAAGTTCCTTATAAAAAGGGGACCTGCATTTTCCTGAGCTATTTTTCTAATATCCTCTTCGTTAACAGGTTCTTCTGTAGATTCATTATGGTGAGCTTTAGCAGATGTTATGGACCCCAAATGGATTACTGACAAATCTACAGTGATTACCCACCAAAGTATGAACTCTTCACTTAGAATTTCAATTGTAATACTAAAAAAAAAAACATTTCGACCATATTATTTATTCTTATTGTCACATGATCAAATTGGAGAATTATTAAAATTTAGATAAATAATACCTAAAATCAGGATTCATCGTTAACTTGTGTTCTTGTCCGAAATCGTTTTCTAATTCATCATACTCCTTATCGAATGCCTCTATTTCTTCCATACACATAATTACATAATCCAATAACGAGAAAATATCAAATTTATTACCCAGAGAGAGAAATAAATTTACTTTTTTTAATTTTTCTTGCATAAACCGGGCTTTATAAAAATATAGTGGTAAGGCATTGTCTAAAATGTAAGAAAAATCGTTTGTATAGAATTACAGAACAAAAAATTAATATGTATACGGGCACTTACCAATTAAATTAATGAATGTTTCAATTTCGTGAACAGTTCCAGAATTTGGATCAATATTTACTTTAAATGGAACAGCTTTGTAAACTGTGTAGAAACAGTAACAGTTATTGTCCTCACATTTGACAAATTGCCAGTATTTTATAGATCTGAAAAATTGACGTTTCATTAGTAGAGTTTTAACGCAAGAAATAATGTTCAAAGAATGTCTCTCAAACTTTTTATTTGAAAACAGTACCTTCTTTAAATGACAGACAGGCCCGCGCCTCGCACTTTTGGCGCCCTTGTGCAAATAACTCCCCAAATTTGTATTACATTCGTATGTGAGTACAGATACCGGTTAAGTTAGGTATCCGCTATTAAAAATTAATTTTAGAAAGTATATTAATAAATTTATTTTCATTTTTATATTTTACAAGTACAAGCCATACAGGTATTTTCTCATTGAGGTACATAATTATAAACTTATAGAAAACAGAAATATATTCTAACAGTATTACAACTCAACATTTTTCTATTTTAGTTTCAAATGTAATATATGATACAAAAGCATAAGAAATCAAAAAAATATTTAAAACATTAAAAATACTCGTTTATATATCACAGGACGAAACTGATCGACAAATAAAAACAAATCAATATATTATTTTAATAATGTAACATGTCACCTTTTAAAGGTTAATATAATATCCACGCTGACGTGTGAAGGCAGTCGGACCGCGTCTCGAATATACAAGAATCGACGGAACCTTCTAGGTATGCCGCTGACGCTTCGAGAAACTGCCGTTGAGTCATAGAGATGGAATTTTCGGGAGTGTCTAGAAACTACGAGCACAGAATTGGCTTGGTATAAATAGCCGACTTATCGGCGATCAGTTTAGTTTTAGTTTAGAATATTGGAATGAAAAGTTAAAGTGTAATAACTAAATTAGAATTGTTAGTTAGTGTCTAAGTATTATATAAATTAATTAGTACGTCTGAAATAAATTGTAAATAGTGTGTTTTAAATAAATAAACTATAAATAAATTAGACTATCGTCACATTGGTGTTAGAAGTGAAACTATAAATAAATAGTGGATAGTAATGGCTAAAAAGCTGTGTGATTTAAAAGTGACCGAGCTACGTCGGGAGTTAGAAGATCGTGAGTTGGAGACGACAGGGAAGAAAACAGAACTGGCAGAGCGGCTTAAAGAAGAATTAATAAGTGAAGGTTTGGATCCGGAAACGTACCTTTTTTCGGATGATGCGGCTTCTATAATTTCTTCGTTAGAAACTCAAATATCAACTATAAAAATCGATATTTCTTCTGATTAAAACTAATATTTCTTCCTTAGAAGAAAAGGTGTCTTCCGATATGTCGTCCGTGAAAAACGAAATTTCCTCTTTAGAAACTAAAGTGTCTTCTGATATGACTTCTTTATAAACCGAAATTTCATTTGATTTGGAATCTAAAATGTCTTCTGTAGAAAATAAAATTTCTTCTAATGTTTCTTCTATAAAAAGTGACATTTCTTCCGTAGAAGAAAAAGTATTTTCTGAAATGTCTTCTCTGAAAATTGAAATTTCTGCTGATGTGGAAAACAAGATGTCTTCTGTAGAGAAGAAAATAAAACAGATGGAAAAGAAAATAGAAGAACTGGAACATTCAAACCCGACCAAGGACGGTGAAATAAAGTGCCATGAGGTGGAGTCGAAGTTAAAATTGGAAGGAGCTGTAAACTCTGCTAGTGTTAAAGCCCCAACCTTCGCAACCTTCGACGGAAAGATGTCATGGACGAATTACCTCAAACAGTTCGAGACAGCTGCGAGGGTAAACGAATGGTCTGAGAGAGAAAAGGCCGTAAATCTGACAATCGCCCTTCGAGGAGACACGCTTTAGATGTTCTTCAGACTATACCTGTGGAAGAGACTGATGATTCTGAACAACTCAAAAAGAGATTGAATATGCGATATGGCCACGAACACTTGGAGCATTTATACCAGTCACAGTTAAAGAATCGCAAACAGAAACGAGACGAGACTCTTCAAGAATACGAAGTAGATATTGCCAGTCCAAACATTTGTTGATGGACTCCGTGACCACGAGATGCAGAAAACACTCCGCTTAGCTCGCCACAAAACATTGGTCGATGTCTTGTCCGCTACTTTAGAATATGAGGCAGCTACGCATGCTTCTGATGGATACAGTAAGGTGAGAACTGTAAAAGAAGAAAACGTAGAAGATAAACGACCAACTAATTAACATAATGAAGAGCTTTACTGATAAAAAGATAAAGACAAAGACCATCAGGTGCTGGAATTGTGGTGAACTGGGACATGTTCGCAGTTCGTGCAAACGCCATAGGGTCCCAACAACTGAAGACAACACGCCGCAGGAAAACTAGAGCGGGTCGGCCTAAAGGGGACAGCTTCGACCCGAAACCGTTCCAAAGACCTTCTCATGCTGATAGCCTCTTTGAAATGTCGCGATGATGGTGTATACGTAGACGGCGAAGTAAATGGTAAAAAGTATACACTGTTGGTAGATACTGGAGCAACATTTTTTCTTTGTTCGGTAAAATTCTAAAGAAGTAATTATTTGAAAACTTACTCCGAACTATCTCTCAGATAAATATCCTTTTGTTTTGATAATGAGCAGGGCCACGTTCTACTAATTCTTGAAAATTATTAAGAGGTAATTTCTTTGGCCATATTGTTGCATCTTCCGAAAGTCGACTCATATTTTCCGTTCTGGTAATTTTTGAAGCTGTTGATTTTTCATTATGAGCGGAACTTGAAGATGCTGATGGATTACTTTCTAGATCTATTTCTTGTTTGCTGCTGATACTTGTTTCAAGTACAGGTTCAGAATATTGGGATTCAGCTGTATTATTGTTGTTATTAATATTTGGCAAAGTATAATAATAATAATCTTTATTTAGCATTTTTGTTTTTTGGTTACATCATAGTTGTAGGTACATTTAAATAATTTTAAATTAATAGAGTAATTGACATATGTACCTTATTCATTAAAAGTATTTGCTGCCCATTTATGACCATGTGGTTGCGTTTTGAAACCATTTTTTTTAAACAATTTTTTTTAAATACATTATTTAAGGTTGACTTGTATAAGTTCATAAAATCTAATTAAAGAATACATAACATATAGTTAAGTTAACAACACTTTAAGTTTCCAAAAAAAAGCAAACTTTATTTATTTAAAAATATACAAAAATGGATCTTTAATTAACAATGTTTATCGTAAGTGATTAAAATAAAAAGAACGTTGATTCCCACGTTGACATGGTATTTATAATCTCGGGTTCATTGTCGCCAAGGTGCAAAGCGCTGACTTTGCTGACGAGGCACTCCGGGCATTGAACGGTGGGTTTCTATCACATTTCTCCTCCCTCCTTTGGTCCTGGCTTCGTCCTCGAAGTCTCTACGAGTAGCTCCTGAAGAACCTGGATTTGTGCTGGTTGTAGTTTGGGCCCAAAAAGAATTTTTGATATTCTTTTCTTTTTCTTTACTGCGATAGTAAAAAGGATGGCTGAAACAGAAATTATAAGGACAAGGGCGACACTGCTGAGTCCTGTTGAAATTTGTGGCATAAGTGCTATTGGCTCTATTGGTTGGAGTTGTCCGTGGCTTTCTGGAATATTCAATTTTTCAATTTTTAATTTATGTTCTGGAATTAGTCTAATTGGGATGACTTCTGGAATGGCGATTTCTTGAATAGTTTTCTTATCATAGTGAATTCCTTCTATGTCGATAGGTTCATCTGACAACAGGATGCTGCTTTTTCGGATTTCTTGTTGATTTATTATTATTGGGTGGACTATTCCCAATAAAATTACTTTTCGGGTTTCCTGTGAAAAGTTCTCTGTGATCAATGTTTTGGTGCAATTTTGAACATTAGGGATGAGGCATCTGGACTTCACGGGCTTGGCACATATAGTGTAATCTGCTTGGCCGGTACATGTTTCATACCATTTGCTATTGGCATAATAGTGTGCAGGAGGCAAAACCATTATGTGATCATTATTAGGGATAGGATAAATTCTAAAGGTGGGGTAAGCGTTAACGTGGAGGATTGGGATTTTGAGAATTATGAGCATTGTATTGGGTGTGACGCAAACTAGAGATTTAGATGATTCGATAAGTTCATATGGGTGTTCGTCATCGACGAGTAGGGCATTTCTTGAGTAAATTTTTATAAGGTTTTCTTTTAAGTCCTCGAGTTCTTTAAGAGTAAATAATTCTATATTTGACAAATTTAAATGTGAAAGGGTAATTGTCCGAATAAGTTTCATAAGAAATTCGTTAATGTTTTGAAGATTTATTATTTCATTATGTAGGGTAATGTATCCATCAAAATCAGCTGATAATTTATTAATTGCTAGTAAAAGGGCTCTATTATTTTTAGTTACTTGTTCTAAAAGTTTATTGAATCTCGTATCAATAGATTGGCCAAATGAGATTTGATTATTAAATTTTTTTATTATTTCATTTTGTTTAACTTCTATTGCGGTAATGTGAGTCTTTAGTAAATTGAAGTCAGAGTCGTCAGGATTTCCGGTAATGTATTTTATAGTCGTGCCAAGAAAATTAAATAGTCCTTTTTTCTGTTTTCGTGTTATTTTATGTAGGTTGTCTTTTGCTTCACCATGTATGTGATTGTATTGAGTATTTAATAGAGAAAGTGGTCCAGTTTTTAATGAATTTTTAAAATAGTCGTTAAGGCTGATATCTAAAGTTTCTTCTAGTTTTTGTAGGTCAATGTGTAAAATGTGTCTATGATAATGTGAAATTTCTCGGGATTTGCCAATTTCTTCAGCGTAATATCCATTATTCGGAATCACTTGAATTTTGACAAGCTGTCCCTGACGTCCCAGGGAGAGGATTGTCCTGTAAAGAAGTATCGTCTTGAAAATTTTTATTTTTTATTTTTCGTATTCTTTTAGCAAATTTTAAATGAGTACTAGTGTCGTTTTGTTTCTTAGTTTTACCAATAATTTTTGTGTTAATTTGTTTTTTAGGGTGTATAATAGAATAAGGAGCATTTAATTTAGGCCTATGTTTTTTCTTAGTTACATAAAGGGTTTGTGTAAGATCTATTTCAGGTACGGTTTCGGCACTTTCGTTTTGTTTTTCTAATATTTTTTGTCT